GTAAACATATAAGTAGCCGATATTACTATAAAGAAAGCAGTTATAGCGCTATTCACGCCGGTAAAGGAATAGGGTCTACCGATAGAATATAAGGCCCCCGCCGTCGCGGAGGAGGAGATCACTATAATTAACTAACTATACAGCTAGACTAACTAGGCGTAGGAGAAGCTTAGTTTTTACTATAGCACGCGGTGATATAGTATAATATAAGGTTAGTATTAGGTCTATTCTTTTTACTTTATTTTTTTTTTCCCCTCCTTTCGTTTCTTCGTTTTACCTTTTCGCCGGGATATACCCGGTAAATTCCTTTCTCCTGTATATACTTCCCGTTATACCTAGGGATTAGCACGTTATATTAGGTAGTAACGATAGCGGCTACTATTAGGGCGCCGCCGAAAATTACTATTTCCTTCTATTACTTCCTAGCTATACTATAGTTTACTAGTATAACCGTGACGAGCCTTTAGCGAGGCTATCGTAGTCGCTAAGGGAAGCCCGCGGGACGTAGGGCTTCCTCGCCCGGGGTAATTAATATGCCCTAGGACACCTCCGGGTATACCTCGGCGTACTATAGGCATACCTTAAAGGTACCGTGGTATATACTATAGCACCTATAGGGTATACCGTGGATACCCGCAGGATACCCTAAGGCACCCGGAGGATTATATACGTAGATACCGAGGATCCTACGGGGTTTACCCGTGGGTATATTAGGTTCCGGGGGCGCGCCCTCGTTTAGTTTAGAGAAGATATCTTATTTTACTACTATTTACGGCACCCTAAGGTTACCCCTTAGAAATCCTGGCTCCTAGGTCCTATAGTACTGGCTAGCCAGGGGATATACCGGTCAGGCATATTACCGTAGCAGAATCCTCGCGCTAAACAGTTTAGGGGTATTATCTTCGCTATCGCGAGGGTATTAGTAGATGCCTTAGGCTTTTAATAGGATATATAGCCAGAGATTATTATAGTAGCCACTTACCTATATAACCGCACTCCACGTAAGGATCTAGGCTAGTAGACGCCTAAGGGAGCGTTAAACGCGTGGCTATAAAAGGAGGGTATCGTTAGCTTTATAGCTAAAACCACTAATCCCTCTATTAGCCACCTAAAGAGGTACGGTTCTAAGGCGTACGCGTTAACTGCTAACTACCTACGAGGAAGGCGTAAGAATAAAAAGCTTGCGCTGAGGGTATATGTCGGTTATTTAATCGGATATAAGGGCATTAATATTTTTCGGATTTTAGTTCCTTAATTAGGGGATAGGATCCTGCATATAAGGGACGTTATCTTTAACGAGTTAGTCCTTTATAAAAATAGGGAGAAAGAGCCTAATATGCCTATACCTATACAGCTTTTCGATAACCTTAATCTACTATTAGACTAGGGTATTTAAGACCCTTTTAGCATTATAATAGATATCGTCGATTTCGGTATACCTATAGTAATATAGTAGAACTCCACGATAAAGGCGTTATAAGAGGGAAGGAGGCGTTAATAATAGTCTTAATCGTTAAGATCTAGGGGGGTGGCCGGCGATGGTAGTAAAGGATTAAAAACCGTTACTAATGTAAAAGCCACTAAAACCGCCTCTAAAAACTAATAGGTTACTGACTAAGAGGTATTACCTGAAACGGCTACCACGGTCGCGGTAGGCACGGTTCCTACCATTATGCCTGCCGTTATTCCTACCGTTAGTTCTTCCTCTTTAACTACTATTTTACCCTCCTCTTTAATAATAGCACTAAAAGTACTAATTTTACCCTCTTTAATAACCTCTTCTTCTTTAATGCCTATTTATACGCCCTTTTTGCCACCTCCTAATAATCCTTAGACGTCTATAGCTATAGTGGTTAAACGTAGCAACGATACTAGTAGTTACTCCTTTAGTTCTTCCTCTACCTTAGAAAAGGCTATAGGTAAGGCTACCGACGATACCGTCGGAATAGGATTATTATCACCTAACTAATCCGTTATTAAAGGGGCCACTACTACTACCGGTACTCCTTAATCTAATCTATAAATAACAACCCTATCTTTAGCAGCTAAGTTTAATCCTACTACTACTACTACTATCGCGGCCTAATAACTAACCTCTTATTCGCCTGCTTTAGCTTTAACGTCTACCACTATAAGGAGGCCTACTCGTAATCGCCAACCTCCCTCTAAGTACGATGATTACGTCTCCTACTACACCTTTAAGAAGCCGAAAAAGCCGCTATTACGCCGAGAAATACCTAAGGAACTATTAAATTAGTATTAGATACTAAAAAACCCCTATAAGCTATAATAGCTTAGGGCAGCCGTATAAGAGGTGGATACACTTAGGTTAATAGGCATCTTTAAAGCAGCAGAGCAGCCCTAGGGTAGGCAACGTGCCTTAGACCTTAAATAGGTCTTTAAGTATAAGGTTAACCCGTTAGGGTACGTTAGTAAGTTTAAGGCGAGGTTATACGTGCGAGGAGATTAATAGCCTAAAAATCACCTTAACGCCTACGCCTCTACCCTTACCGGCAGGACCTTTAGGTTATTAATAGCTATTACTGTCTATTTTAACCTGGAGACACGTTAGCTTAATACCGTTAACGCCTTCACTAACGCTACCCTTAACGAAGAGATTTACGTTAAGGATCCACCTAGCTAGCCGCTGCTTTAAGCAGTAAAAGGCATAAAGAGCGACGAGGACCTCGAGGCTATTTTAAAGCTATTATAACCACCCTCGCGCGGTATATAACGCCTACGCAGGGCGTTATATAGCCTATATCGCTCCCCTAAGCTATAGCACGAATAGCTCTTTTCCGTTTTAGGTAAGTACGACCTAAAGTAACTGACTAAAGACGATTACGTCTTTAAAAGCAAAGAACTAATCGTCTTCTTCTACGTGGACGATATTATTCTAATTTATAAAAAGGAATATTAATCTGCTACTAATTCTCTTATATAACGGATATAGTAGCACTTTTAAGTAAGGGATCTCGGCCTACTTAAGTGGTTCCCAGGGATTAGGGTGGTTCGTGACCGCTAATAATATCGGCTATAGCTTTCCCTTAAGAACTATATCACCGAAAAGATTAAGGCGTTATAGGTGGATTATAGTAGGCGTAGGGTTAAAAGCCCTTTTCCTTTTCCTGATATCTTATAACCTATAACCGAGTAGGCCTTTATAGATTTAATCCACCTATATCTACGAAAAGTCGGCTTTATTAACTACGCCGCCTATTACATAAGGCCTGATATCTTTAAGGCCGCTTCGAGGCTTACGGAATTTAATACTAACCCGTTAACATAGTATCACGATACCGTAAATAGGTATTTAAAGTATCTCGCCTCCACTAAGTCCCTATGCCTTTACTTTAGACCACGTAGTAACCACCTATAGCACGCACTTTACTATACTTCTAACGTAGTCTTTAGGGACGACCGTGAGACTCGGTATAGTTCCTAAGGCTATACTATATTATTATTCGGTGGCCCTATGGACTAGAAGGCAAATAAGTAAATAAGCGTCGTGACCTCTAGTACTAAAGCCGAGCTTATAGCCCTTTCTGCTGCTATTAGGTAGTATATCGCGATTAGGCGATTAATACACGACCTAACCTTAACCTTTAAAAACGAGCCTCTAACGATATACTACGATAACGACTAAATAAGGATCCTTTTAGAGGTACTACGCCCTTAGGTTATATCTAGATTAAAGTATCTAGATATCCACGCCCTTTAGATCCGATAGGTCGTTTAATAGAAGAAGGTCCTGATCGCCTGGATCTTAACCTAAGAGATAGTTACCGATAGGCTGACTAAGATACTTCCCCCGTAGAAATATAAGGCGTTTGTATATCTGCTGGGGATAGAGGTCCTAAGCCAGGGGGCTTAAGGCAATTTATAAGAGGCGCGGTACTAAGTTTATAATCTGTAGCCTAGATTGATCGTTATTTTAGTGCCCTTTAGATTATTATTTAGGTACCCGTTTTTAATATAGTTTTAGGGTTAATTTGGCTACCTGTTTTTACACGTTTTTGACGTTTTTGGTTATAAAAAGAGCGCGCTTTTTAATAAGCCGTTTAACCGTTGGATTAATATCTAGGCCTCTATTTTACCCTAGATTTACGGCTTTACTTAAGCAGAATAGTTAGGATTAATCCTGTAGTTCTGGGGGGGTGTGTTAGATGCCTATATCCACCTTATCGGGGTGTGACTTACGCTATTGCTGTAGACGGATGGGGTACTTCCGACCGATGTATCTATATTAATTTCCCCTCCTTTTACTTTATAGTTAGATATTTCCGCAAAGTATCTTTTACTCTTCTTTAATACATATATATATCTTTCGCGTACCTTATTTATGTGCTGATATATCTTAACCCGCTGCTACAGGTATCCGTATCTATATAAGAATACCCGGGATAGGCTATAAAATGTCCTGGTACAATACGGAATATACGAAGTAATTAGTATTCCCGCCAAAGAACTAGGTATATAAGGTACCATATAATATCATATACCGGTACAGCGTAACCGGTATACCTTAGGGTACCTTAGTGCACCGTATATACCTGCCCCGGCGGGTCCTTGGAAGCCAATAGGGATCGGATAGCTTGATTACCAATGTCGTGGCTGACGGCCACAATCACATCGCCATTTGAACATTTGAACTGCCAGGGATCGCACCCAAACAGAACGGTATGACCGGCGTGTCCCATTCTGAGATTCCCAGCTTCTCTAAATACATTGTAAGGAGCGGCAATGCGAATTGCTCGCGGACTTTTCCAGCGGAACTACACGCCTCTCTCTTACCTATTCTAGCATAGTCTTGCTTGGGCACGATACTACGAAGTAAGTAAAGTAGGGTAGCCAACCAGTTTGCGTTGGAATTCGCATTGGACTATGAAGCGCACCTTTAGCACGGTCTTCCACGCTATATACGTTGTCGAAACGGTTTAGCGTCCGACCGAGAGTTTGCTCTCACGGGACAAAATTGCAGAAGAAATTTGCGCGCCACTCGCATGTTCTTGACGTCGCGAGATTCATGGCATTTTAGTAGGTACCGAGTGTCAGTTCGGTAGCATAATCGCATGAAGCATCGCGGGTTGGCGGATCGCATAGCCACTTATTACTACCAGGACGATAAGAGCTTTATGCTGAAATGCGCGCCATGCTACCGTATCATATTCCCAGACTCCCGCTATATTCGGAACATATCACAAGGACATAACCAGAGCCAAAGCTACTCGAACAACCAACAAGCCACCGGCTCTTCATCAATCATCCCAGATAGCCGCCTTGGCCTTTTCAGCCTCCTCCCGCTTCTTCGCCTCTGCCGCCTTCTCCTGTTCCCGCCTCTTGCGCTCCCGTTCCTTGACCGCCCTGTCATATGCCCTCTGCTCCTCCGTCATCCTCGGCACCTTGACGCCCAGCGCGCTAGCGATCATCCGGCGCGCCGTTGCGTCTGTCTTCTCCGGGCGCCGCCGTTCTGTGGGAGCGTGCGACGCATCGTTGGTCCCGGGAGAAGGAGGGACGAGAGGGGGGATCCATGGCTGGGTCGAGGGCACTTTTGACGGGGAAATGGGCGTTGGGGGTGGCGCCTTGGACCCCTCATCGCCGTCCCGTGGCACTGGGGTGTTATCGGCGCCTGAGCCAACGCCCGCCCCGGCCCCGGAATCCGAATTCACATCCGAGTCAATCTCTTGGTCTTCCCATGAGTCCAGCACAGGTTCCTTGGGTTCGGAGGCTTTGGCGCCCTTGCCGGACTTTTTGGAGGGTTTTATGGTGAGTTTGGAAAGGGTCGAGGTTACTTCCGATGACTGGTCTGGGGACGCCATAGGGGATGTTCAAGGCGATTTCGTCGGATGGCTGTATGAGAAGAGCAAGTCTCTCCCGGGGCCCGTGGTCCTGAGATGGGAGGACTGAGAGCTTTTACAATGGCTGCGTGGGAAGAATGGTGACGAGGAAGGTGAATGTGTTACTTGTGGTTTGGTGAGTGTCAAGAAACGAGCAGGACGCTGACCCGACTGTAAGGCTCGTGGTCTTAGGCGGGGAATGGTTACGTTATGAAAAGGACAGTGGATGAACAACCGCAGAATACGGCAATGCAACCTCGAGGTACGAAGTGCGAGTCGTTACGAAATCCGTACGTTGTACTCGGTACTTGGTACGAAATGTCGGACCTCGTCGCCAGATACTGTGGTTTTGTATCTGCGAGGATTTGCCGAGAGTCTCCAACGAGAATATCACAGGCTGTGCTGTCAAATGTACACCGTACTCCGCATCGGTTCCGCGTGAAATTTTGACCGAGCTCCGATTTCTCCACTTCTCGTCATCAGCCTTTCATCCTGACCTTATTAATCCGATTCGGCAGAGTGCGAAGACGTTCTACCGTTCGTTCTACCGTACAAGCCACCGAATTTTCCGTCTATCCGTAGCACGTTGTGCCTCCCGCATTATACTCCATTTATTGCGTCTCCTCCCTCTTGTTTGCGTGGCTTCTTTCTCCTCCCTGGGCAGACCATCCGATCCGACTCGTGGTGTCTTCCGACTCGAAGCGAGACTGCTTCACCCAATATGGTTCTTCGGACTCACCTTCCGAGGAATTCGACCCTCCGGCATACGGCCGCCACATATACAAGACGTCTTCAAACCCAGTCCAACAGCAGATTATGGGCTGCGAGGGTTGCTTGGTCACCTACACCTACAGTGGCCGCCCGCGTGCGACATGACCCAGCCATCCGATCCCGGCCGGCCGCGGCCTATTTCTCGACCACAACATGCCACCTGAAGGAAGACAAGGGCCGCGGCTTCTTTGATCGGTCGGGCGAGCCACTCTCGGAGGAGGAGAAGAAGGCGAATTTGGAAAAAGAACGCGAGCAGGGGGACAAGGAAGTAACCGATGCGCCAAAATATCCCAGCGCCGAGGCGTTGGCAAAGAACGAGGGGCCCGCTGGAGGCCAGGATGGGAAAGCTGGGAAGGCTGCCGGAAGTGCTGCCGGAAGTGCTGCCGGAGGCTCCTCGTCCAGCTCCGGCGGTGATGGCTCGAGCGACGGCGGCCGCCGAGGTCGTAAAGCCTCGAGCGAGAGAAGCCTGCAGAAACCCGTTATTCCCGACGTTTACCCTCAAGTCCTGGCAATCCCCATCGCGAAACGCCCGCTATTTCCGGGATTCTACAAGGCCATCACGATCAAAGATCCCAATGTCGCAGCCGCCATCACGGAGATGATTAAGAGAGGTCAGCCGTACGTGGGTGCATTCCTGTTCAAGGACGAAAATGCGGACGAGGATGTGATTCGAAACCCGGAGGACGTGTACGATGTGGGCGTCTTTGCGCAAATCACCAGCGCGTTTCCCATGCACGGCGAGCAAGGGAGCTTAACAGCCATTCTCTACCCGCACCGCCGAATCCGCCTATCGACTCTTCTGCCGCCCGGTGGCGAGGAGTCGAAGAAGAGTGAGGCCAAGGTGGAGCCGGTTCCGGAACCGATTCCCCAAAAGTCTGCGGAGGAAGAACCGCAGTCAGAAAAGAAGGGCGACGTGGTGGCCAGCTTTGAGGAAAGCGCGGTCAGTCCCCGGCCAGACCAGACCGCCGAGAAATACGAGCCGACAGCGTTCCTTAAGAGGTACCCCGTCAGCCTGGTTAATGTCGAGAACCTGACGGAGGAGCCCTATGATCCGAAGAGCGCCGTCATCCGTGCCGTCACCAACGAGATCGTCAATGTCTTCAAGGAGGTCGCTACCATGAACAGCCTCTTTAGGGACCAGATTTCAACGTTCTCCATGAGCCAGTCGACAGGAAACGTAATGTCGGAGCCGGCTAAACTGGCGGATTTCGCCGCAGCCGTGTCGTCTGGCGAACAAGGAGAGCTCCAGGAGGTTTTGTCGAGCTTGAATGTCGAGGAGCGCATACAGAAGGCGCTCATTGTGCTCAAGAAAGAGCTCATGAACGCACAGCTGCAATCCAAGATTACCAAGGACGTGGAGAGCAAGATCACCAAGCGGCAACGCGAATACTGGCTCATGGAACAGATGAAAGGCATCCGGCGCGAACTGGGGCTCGAGTCGGACGGAAAGGACAAGCTAGTGGAGAGCTTCAAGGAGAAGGCCGACAAGCTGGCAATGCCCGAGGCCGTGCGCAAGGTCTTCGACGATGAGATCAACAAGCTCGCCCACCTGGAGCCGGCGGCGTCGGAATTCAATGTGACGCGAAACTACCTCGACTGGCTGACGCAGATCCCCTGGGGTCAACGAAGCGCCGAGAACTTTGGCATCGAGAATGCCATGAAAGTGCTGGACGAGGATCACTACGGACTCAAGGACGTCAAAGACCGCATCCTGGAGTTCATTGCCGTCGGCAAGCTGCGCGGAACAGTCGAAGGGAAAATCCTATGTTTCGTCGGCCCTCCGGGCGTGGGCAAGACGTCCATCGGCAAATCCATCGCGAGAGCCCTGAACAGACAGTACTACAGGTTTAGCGTTGGCGGCCTCACAGACGTGGCCGAAATCAAAGGGCATCGGAGGACCTACGTCGGTGCACTTCCAGGCCGAGTCATCCAGGCCTTGAAGAAGTGCCAGACGGAGAACCCCCTCATCTTGATAGACGAAATCGACAAGATTGGCCGGGGTTACCAGGGGGATCCGTCGTCGGCCCTCCTCGAGCTTCTTGATCCCGAGCAAAACAGCTCGTTCCTCGACCACTACATGGACGTCCCGGTTGATTTGTCCAAGGTCTTGTTCGTCTGTACCGCGAACATGACGGACACGATCCCGCGACCGCTCCTCGACCGGATGGAGCTGATCCAGCTCTCGGGATACGTTGCGGACGAGAAGAAGGCGATTGCGGAGCGATATCTTGCGCCAGCCGCTAAGACTGCTGCGGGCCTGGAAAACGCCGACGTTCAGCTCACGGAGGATGCTATTGAGGAACTGATCAAGTCGTACGCCCGCGAGTCGGGTGTGCGGAATCTGAAGAAGATGATCGAGAAGGTGTACCGGAAATCTGCTCTGAAAATCGTGCAGGACGTCGGCGAGCAGGCCCTCCCCGAGGAGGAGGCTCTGACCAGCGACGGCAAGGAAGCCCTCGAGGAATCGGAGAAGAACTCGGAAGAGGCATGCGAGGCCGGGGAGACATCGAGCGAGGCATCTGCTACGGAAAAGCCTCGGGTGCCCCTGGATGTGCCTGACACCGTCCACGTGAGCATCGGCAAGGATAATCTGAAGGACTACGTCGGCCCCCCCGTCTTCACGTCAGACCGGTTATACGAGGTGAACCCGGCCGGCGTAGCCATGGGTCTGGCCTGGACGCAGATGGGCGGTGCCGCCATGTACGTCGAGTCGATCGTTCAATCGGCTCTCAAGCCGAGCAGCCGGCCGCACCTCGAAATCACCGGCAACCTCCAACAGGTCATGAAGGAGTCGTCGACCATCGCCTACTCGTTCGCCAAGGCCCTGATGGCCAAGGAGTTCCCCAACAACAACTTCTTCGACAAGGCCAATCTGCACCTCCACGTGCCGGACGGCGCTGTGCCCAAGGACGGCCCGTCGGCGGGTATCACGATGGCCACTTCGCTGCTCTCGCTGGCGCTGGATGCCCAAGTCGACCCGACAGTCGCCATGACGGGAGAGCTGACACTGACTGGCAAGGTCCTGCGCATCGGCGGGCTGAGGGAGAAGACGGTTGCGGCGCGTCGGGCGGGCTGCAAGACCATCATCTTCCCCAAGGACAACTTGTCGGACTGGCTGGAGCTTCCCGAGGTATGTTGGCTCTTCTTTGTGGTCCTAGGAGGTCGACTTTTTGGACTTGTTGCGCCGTTTCGCTAACCTAACCTACAATTCGCAGAACATCAAGGAGGGCATCGAGGGCAAGCCAGTAGGCTGGTACTCCGACGTCTCTGACGTGATCTTCCCCAATCTCGACCGGGAGAAGGCCAATACCAGCCGGGTTCCAGACGAAGATCCCAAGAAGTCCACTGGGGCAGATTGAGTAAAAACTCCACTCCGGATTCGGTTCACACCATCCTTGGTCACACTCCCTCACGGCCCTCGTGATACTGCCGCGGTAGTGTAAATATATAAGAAGAAAGAGTTGGGAGAAGGGGATGGGGGTGTCAGAAGACGGGTGATCGATCATCTATCCAACTACGGCACGGCGTTTCATCTCTTATTTATTATTCTTCTTCTTCTTCTTCTTCTTCTTCTTCTTCTTTCTTTTTGCTTAACTTCAGGGGAGATGGACCTGAAGGATGAAAGGCATCCTGCATTGCATACACTGTACATAACACGATTAGACGACACGGCTCTTCTCCACTACCTTGAGTTCTTGTTTCTTGGGGGGGGGGGTTTCTTCTTCTTGTTCTTTTTACTCATCTTTCTCCCCTGACGTTCTGCACTTGCTGAACGCTTCAGCTACCTTTGTACAATAGGAAACGGCACGGAATGCAAGGGAAGGAGTGGCGAGGTCGAAGCGTCGTGTTAGCATATGCCGACTCTCTTGGTGGGAGGAGACTTCAGACATGAACCCTCGGTGTAAACCGCCAGGGCATCCCTTATCATGGAACATGATCATAGTTGGTTAGTAGACAAAATAAGACGAGGACAGTACCATAGGCATGTGCTTGACGAAACCCGCTTACGGCTGCACTTACTTTGCCTATCTAATCCCCAAGACTAACAACGGGCATTCTTCATTGTTCGATGCCATCATGTCATAGGAGTAGAGAAGATTGATCATTTTACCAAGGCTGTCTGTCGTAGCTGCCGCTGCCAGTCGCCTCCTAGGGTATGTAAACACAAGAACAGAAGAAGAAAAGGCAATATCCCGGGACGTAGCCCCCAAATCTATCGTCCATCAAACGCTGTAAAGCAGGGCAAAAACGAAAAAAAAAAGTCAGTAAAAGAAGGGAGCCTCAAGAAGCCAATACCGGCCGTCATGTCATCACGTCCCCCCCCTTCCATATCACGTCGTCATCCCAGATGTGCCACCTTGTAACCAACCCCCCCCCTCTACCCCTAGATCCATGTCTAAGGCACCCCATCCTATTCCCATCTCGCAGTTCATGCTCGCGAGGATATTGTCCATCTCCTCATCCGTCATACCCGTCTTGGGATCCCCCGACGTTCCACTCCGCGCTTGAGACTCAAGTCCGAGCTTCCCGGTAACCCACTCCTTAAACTTGCCCAACAGGAGCTCATCATCCGCTGCCGTCTCAGGGGTGCCGAGTATACCCCTAGCCCGCGCCCGCAGCGCCGCATCGTCCGGGAAACCCCGCCCCGACGCCACCTGCGCCCTCACAAAGGCGACCAGCCCTGCCTCGAGCTCGCGCGAGCAAAACACCGTCGCCGGACGGGGGTACCGCGTCTCGAAGGTCTCGAGGTACCTATCCAGCACGGCCTGGTCCACGTCGAGCGGCTTCGTGCCGTCGCCGATGTTGATCTCTACGAGCCCGCTGCCGCCGGGGCTGCTGGTGCTGCTGCTGGTGCTGCTGCTGCCCTTTGCGGTGGGGCAGGCGGTCGCGGAGAAAGACGTCGAGGACAGCGGGCATGATTTGACTGCGCCGGTGCCGGGAGGTGCCGTCGTCGCGGAAGCGGTGGTTGCTGTGGCAAGCCGCCAGTTGCCCCGTCCCTGTTGTCGGCTGGGGAATGCATAGGGCGGTGCGAAACCGGTGCCGCCCTGCGTAAGAGACCATTGGTCACCTTCGGGCAAGCCGGGCCCCGTGGTGGTGATTCCGGTTTGCCGCTTGAAGCGCTGCAGCCACTCTGCATTATCGGCGGCGGTTTGGTTCCAGGGATCATCACTGGGGAAGACATCGGTGGTTAGTGTCGTTGTCTCTAAGATAAGCACACAAAAAGGAGTGGGAGTTGAATGTTGGGACTCGCGGCAGAGAAAAAGAAACCCACTCATCATATAGAATCCAACGAGCCTGGTGCTGCAGCTCTTCATCCGACGGGATATGTCGGTTCGGATTGTTCGGAGACATGGCTGCAACGACATAGCGAGAGAGCTCGTAGGCCAAACGACGGTAACAGTTGGCGTCGTTGAGGAAGTAGGTCCCCGTCTTGAACCCGCTCTTGACGAGGTTGTTGACTGCCTGCTGGCTCATCCTCATATAACCACCGACCCGTTTTAGATCGGTCTGGGTGAGTGCGAGACTCTGCTGCTGCAGCTGTGGTTGCTGCAGCGGTTCTTGTTGTTGTTGTTGTTGTTGTTGCTGTTGTAGGTGTCCTTGCTGCTGCTGCCCCCCAGTCCCCACGCTCGAACCCGAGTCCGCAGTCAGAGCATTATTACCCTGCGACGCCCGGCGGCAATGACGCTGCCTGAAAGCGTGCAGCCACTGCATGTTATCGGCAGCCGTCTGGTTCCACCCGTCGTCAAACTCGTAGATGACGATACGGGCCTGGCGCTGCAGGTCCTCGTCCGAAGGCTCGACGCCCTTGGCCTTTTGCGCGTCCATGTACACGCCCAGCTCCGTCTCCAGCCGGCTGTAGTTGTGGATGGTCGAGTCGATCTTGGTCGAGTCGGTCGACCGCAGGTGGGCGCACACGATGTCCTCGGTACGCGGGAGGTGGGCGCGCTGGCGGAAGTTGGCGAGCCAGGCCGTCGACGCGTTGATCAGACGCACCAGCCAGTTGGCGATGAAGTCGGAGGGCGACGTCGAGACCTCCTCGATGCGGCCCACCGTGCGGCAGGCTTCCTCCTGCAGCTCCTCGTCCATGGCGGTTAACCCCAGGAGCGACTTGGTGCGGACGTACTCGCGGAGGTGCTGCTCCAGCGGGCACTGCTCGAAAAGGTTGTCCTTGCCGTTGATCTTGAGGATCGACAGCCTGCTCTCGATGGCCGTCCTCAGGGGACCGAACTGGGCCTGCCTGGTGATCTCTTCGGACGACATCAGGAGGTCCCTCAGCCACGAGAAGTTGGAGTCGATGCCCTGCAGGGACAGGACCTCCGAGGCGAAAATGATACGGCAGGCTTCGAGCTGCATCTGGTAGTCGTCCGGCAGCTTGCCGGTCCGGTCCTCGTGGTTCATCATGAAGTGGACGAGTTCGATCTTGATGAGCTCGTAGGCGCTCCTCGGCGATTCGGCGGGCGCACCGCTGGCCACGTAGGGCAGAGGCGAGTTCCGTTCATTTTCAATGAGATCTAGGAGACGCGGAAAGAGTAAAACAAAACGAAAAAAGAGGTTAGATGACGACTGTCGGCAGGCGATCGACGGGGTATCTCAGGGGTCGCATACAAGGCGGGATGGAGTTCTCCACCATCTCGAGCACGGGCGCTTCGAAACCCCAGTCGCCCTTCCAGTCGGCCATGGTGTTGCCCGTCTTGAAGTGCTCGGCCAGGTGGTCGACGCGGATGGACCAGGTGTCCATGACGATGCCGCAGAAACCGCACCTCGAGCGGATTTCGGGGGTGGCGACCCTCCAGGGCTTCATGCACCCGTCGAGGAACTTGACGTTGTGCACCAGCCTCAGATGCTGGTTGAGGTGGTCCTTGCGGTAAAAAGTCCTCTCGTCGAGCGAGCGTTCCTGGCAGGTGGAGTAATTGTGGCTTTCGACGTGGGCGTCGTCCGGGTTCGGCTCGCCGCAGAAGACGCAGCAGGGCGGCTGGTTCGGGGCGGGGTGGAGGGCGCGGGGCCCGTTCGGAGCGCAGACCCATCGCTCCAGCGAGAGGTGAAGCGACTTCTCGTGGCGCTGCCAGTCGTGCTTGGTCCTGAACGTTTCCGTGCAGAAAGTGCACTGGAAGGTCTTGAGGGGCGCGGCCAGGGAGGTCTTGGGGTCGACGCGCTTCGGGTTGGCTCGCCTCCTCCGGCGGCGACGGCCACGGGTGTTGGCCGAACCGAAAGAGCCGAACGAGCCGTGGGAGGCATGAGAGTAGGCCGAAGCGAAGGAGCCACCGCTCGAAGTGCCTACGCTGCTCGTGGAGGAGGCGTTGCAGAGGGAGCGGTTCGAGCCGTCGTCGGTGCAGGCGAAACTGTAGGGGCTGGCCAGGCTCGATGACTGGCTCGAGTTGGAGGCCACGGCCCTGGCAATGGCGGTCACCGAGGCGGGTTCGTGTTCGGGCGGGGAGTCCACCCAACGCTCCAGCGGGTTCAGGTGGCGCATGTTGCTCTCCAGGGCGGGGGTCCCAGGGCGTCGTGGGATGTCGATGGGGCCCGAGTAGCTGCTGCGAACGTGAGGAGACGTGGACCGGGGTGGCTGGACCTTGCCACGCCGGCGGGCGTTGGCGAGCCAGTTGCTGATCTGGGTCTTGTTCAAGCCGGTTTGGCGCTGGAGCATTTCCTTCTCTTCGTCGCTGGGGTAAGGATGGCGGTTGTGGGATAGGAGCCAGTTCTTCAGGATCTTGACCGACTCTCGCGAGAAACGAGCGCCGATCTTGGGCGGCGGGCTGTTGTTGGTGTTAGGGCCGGGACCCGGGCCCGGGCCCGGGCCTGGGCCAGCGGAACTGATGCTGCTGCTGCTGCTACTGGCGTTAATGGCGTTAATGGCGGCAATGGCGGCAATGGCGGCATTGGATGGTGCGGTATCGGCAGAAAGGGGAGCGGCCGGGTGCGAAGAGCCGTGCAGAGCCAGGATGTTCAGGCCCTCTTGAGGGATGGCATTGGGATGCTCCCCCGCCGTCGGCCATGGGTTTAGAGGGAGGCTAGACATGGACCATTCGGAGTCCATGGCGGTAGCGGTCGCGTTGCGGCCCTGGGCAGCGGAGTTGGCCGGGCGGGCGAAACTGCACTCGCATCGAAGAGCAACGCAAGATGTGCAGTAGTTCTTGTACTGACCCTCCTTAATCTTCTTGCACTGGTATCGCCCCAGGGTGCAGTTAGCACAGGGAGCGTCCGGAATGAGCCACCACGGCTCAGAGAGGGAGTCCGGCGGGGGGTTGGCGTCGTTGAAAGTGGCGCTGACCTCGAAGGTGTCTAATAGGGGCTCCTCGGTGGGTTGGCCGTTGAAGTGCTGTAGGGCCCAGAAACTCCAATCGTCGTCATCGACGTTGGCCAGGACTAAGTCGAGGTCAGGATCGGTAGGTATGATGTCTTGATGAGCAGAGGTGCCTAGAGGGTCGATGGAAGGGTCGATAGAAGGGTCGACCGAAGGGCCGGTAGAAGCTCCAGCCTTGTCCCAGTCCACAAACTCATCCATCTCCTGAATGGATGCCATGGCTGCTGATGTCGGAGTCGACGTATGAGGAAGGTCCCAAGGGTCGACAAGAAAGGCGTACGCTGGGCCAACAGATTAGGCCCTGTACAGAGAATGGCAGGGCGCGACGTGAACCAGGACGACGCGTAGGGAGGAGCCGGACAAGTGATACGAATTTGGAGGATCAAGCCGAAGGGCGTGCGAGAACCCCGAGGCCCAAGATGTCAAGCGGGAGTGTCACCCAACTCTGGACGGGAGGATATAAGGGCAGAGGGCAGAGGGCAGAGGACCTTACTCAGGGCTGATGCGATGCTCCGGAGGGGAGGAGACAAAGAAGGAGGAGGCGGGACGAGGGATGAGGGGAGGGATTTGGGGCTTTAGCTCTGAAGGCTGGGAATCTTTTTATTGAAATCCGGTCTTCCCTCTCGCTAGATGCGAATCACCGTCGTAGAGACGCAGGGGCGCATGGGTATAGGGGTATCAGGGTATGAGGAAGAGGAAGAGGTATGTAAGAGGGTAAGAAATCGGTCTGTTCTCCCGCCGTGCCTGGATCGGAGTCACACTTTCCTCGTTCATAGCCTTTTAGGCCCATCCCCTAGGCCACGTACGGACAGATAATAACGGTGAAGGATGGGGTCTGGATGGGGTCTGGATGGGGTTTGGATGAGGTTTGGATGAGGTTTGGACGGGGTCCCCTCCCAATCCCGCAGTTGTCGTGATAAAGTCCGTCGTCCGCAGCACGGGGAAGGTACGAAGTATTGTACTTCCATGACATGACATCTGACATGCGCGCCCTTCATGTCAAAAAGAAATGGGGCCAATGCATGTCCACATGCAGCCGGCAGGGCAAAACGACGGTGCGAGCATCGGGCCGAGGAGACTGTGCGGGGCTGTCGGTTGACGGCGGTTGACTGTTGACGGTTGACGGTTGACGAATGGTTTGCGCCGTTTCTATGTCCGAGAAAGTACCTTAAAACCGTACCTTTATAAGGGAATAAATCCCCGTGTCTATCCTGTTTGATGATTAGACGTCGTTTTACTTTTTAAACGTCCTTTTCTTTATTTACGCAACTAGGAACGGTTCGGTTTCTCTATGAAGAAGTGGATACATTGTGATCTTTTGTCGAGGACCTGGTGGTCGATGATCCCCGCTATCAAGTATGGGTACTTCGGCGTCCAATTCGAAGCTCCGAAGCACATCCGTCAGAAAATAAGCAAGACAGTGAGCCTGGGTCAAAACACACGGTGCGGAAGAACGGTGAGACTGAATTTTGTACTTCGTGCCTACCTTATTTACCTTATGTGCTGCTTATACATACGTCGTGGTTGCATTGCATCCTTGTGCGTTGTAGAGGGCGGGCCTTGGTCACTACCTTAGTGTGCTTGAATTATTATCACGATTGCGACACCGGAGCTGACAGTGAAGAGGAGTTACGGAAATCCAAGCCTAACTGGGTCCGCTTAGTCAGCCAAGCTTTCATGCGGACCCGCATGTATTTCCGTAAGGTACCTACCTACCTGTACCTATCATAAAAACATATCACAAATATCGTACATCTTTTGGAAACGAGGCGACGGAACTCGGTGAGGCCCCCAAAGCTCCCACGAACAAACACGAAAACAGTCCTCTCGCCAGCAAAGCTGACACAAAGCCTCCAGGATGTCCTCGCCAACTAGCCGTACGGATACAAGGCCGTTCATCGACCCCAACCACTTGGAACTGGAAGGATAACGCAATTGGAGCTCTGCCAACCCCCCAACGGGGGGAGTGCGTAGCTTGTTTGCTTCCTCGTCAGCTCAATGGGGCCAAAGCGCTCAATCCCAAGGAGTAGCTGGGGCTCATTTGGCCTTTTTGGAATTCATTTTCACTTTCAGTTTGGATTTTTGTTGTTTCTTTTTCCCGTAGCAACCTATTTCTCCTCCCTCTGCCCCTGCCCCATAGCATTATCGCGAACGAAAGACGCGACATTTCTTCAATCAAAACCTGGCTCTTGCCTTTTCGCTGGGGTTTCCCCTGAATCGATCCTATTCCGCCGTGACGGCTGCTGAATTTCAGGCCCCGGCCATAACGAAGCATCTTTTGTTTGACATACTTTTAAAGCCCCTAACCGCCAAATTAGCCATGTCGACCTCGACCTACCTTTGTCACGGCTTCAGGTGGCATCGCCCCAATATCCATGTCTTCGCCCACGAACAGGACATTGGTGACGCCGCTCTCGACTCGACCGTCGCTCCCGAATCTTCCGCTGCGATCATCCGATCTTTCTACACCGCCTTCGACTTTCTCCCCCACCGTCCCCTTGCCGCACAGGGAACTGAGCCGGCTACGACGTCGTCCCTTCCCGGTCACGGCGCGGTGAAGCTCCTCGAGGAGCACGATTGCCGCGACTCCATGAACGTTGGCCGGCCTTACGCCTTCGTCGCCGACCATGCCGTCCGTGTCCATCTCAGCGTGTCGGTCGTGGAAGAGATGGCGCTGTACGAGGCGTGCATGTCCGATAAGGCGGCTGTCGAGACGAGCCGGGGCGAGGATGTGGGGTGGTTCGAGAAACTGCGGGACAAGTTACAGCCAGACGAAGATATTCGGTGGTACGTCATCGTCTGTCGTGAAGAAGAGGGCAAGCTGCGAGAGGACCGTGGCTTTGGGGATGCCCAGGGCGACGGTGGGGTGAAGAGGGGAGACCTCTCCGTTGAATCGCCCCCGGACCACACGCCGGAGGAGACCGGACGAAAAGTTTCTCGGGGACAGCCGGAGGCGGACCAAACACAGATGCAGGCCGAGAAAGGGGATGGCCAAGACGCCGTTGGGGAGACGACTTCAACACAGCCCAAAAGCGGGACAGCCGCGGAAGACGCAGGGCGACAAGTTCGTCCCGCCAGGGAGAGGAGCATGAGCGCGTCGAGACCGTCAGCCGGTGGGTGCTCGTACTCGCCGTTTCCTCGACCCGTACTACCTCCGACGATCACACCTCGACCTGCCACGAGGAATGGGAATCTGCTGAAGCCGTATCCTGAGATTGGGTCGATTTCGATAACACCTGCTCCTCCACCGCCCGCCAATTTTGCTCACAAAAGCCGGAGCCTAAGGAGGTTGTTTGGGAGGAAAAAAACCAGCGGAAAAATTGATATGAGCGCAGAGCCTCTCTCGCGATGGAGGACAGGGAATTACGGCTTATTATGGTCGGCCGAGGTAGAGTACAGTGAGCGTCAAGCTTCCGTTCTTTAGTTGCTGGTTCATCGCATTCGAAGCCAGTGGTCTTTTCTTCTTCTTTTTCTTTTTCTCATTCTCATCCATGTTCTGTTAAGTATATAGACAGGACGCAAAGTCCATTTTCTACAAAGCATATAGATATAGGTCGGCAAGGTCAGGCATCCATCTTGGGAAGAAGCGTCAATTGCTGTTAGGCGTACTTTAACGGCCTCTTTATCGTGGTATTCCCAGTTGCTGTCAGAGAAAACAAGTTAAAAAAATTAGTCAAAAAAATAGTTAAAAAATCAAAAATTTACCACTAATAAACCAGAACTGACAGGTGAGTCCATTGCAACCCATCTATCTCTCTTGTATGTCACGTGGCTGACAAGACAGACTGCTGCCTGCTCAACTGGAGGAGAGGAGACTCTTGTGATACAATGGTGTGGCCACTGTGGGGGACGTTGACTGGATGCTCACACCCCTGTCCGGACCGTCCATGCGTCCATCCTCCATGGTGGATGACGGTGTCTTCTCAGCCTTCAGCTCACAAAACCCTTGATGTTTGGTGTCGAGCTAAGGGTTCATCGTACTCCTTCTCATCGTCAATTCATCCGTATACCGTTGTGCGGCATTGAACGTTACGTCTCTTAGGGATAACCAGTCTATCTATCTATCCCGGAACCGAAGTCGGACATCAGATTGGCTCATCTCACCGATATTCCGGCGGCGCACATCGAAGCTATACTCCAACGATACTCCAACGATGGCTTCTCCTTTAACGGAAGCCGCTGCCGACGTCGAAAATGCCGGTGCAGGCCAGCAGCGCCTGGAGGATTTCAGCCCCCGGAATTTCGTAATGTATCTGCTGCACAATGCCCACCACGAGCTCCGCGAGGGCGACACTCTCGTCTTCATCGACATGCCCCCCTCTTCTGGCCAGAAGCCCACCGACTGCTTCGGCATCCCGTGGGCTTCCACGACCGTCCGGGTCTCATCCCAGAACCTGCGCGCCACGGGGTCCTCCCGGTTCGAGCAGAACCTGAAAGAGTTCGGACTCAGGGCCAGCAAGAAGGCCCAAAGCCGCGGCCTCAAGCCGGACGATCTCCAAGGCGTCAGGTGGTCCCTCGACCTCACCCCGGACCACGAAGGCGAGGACATGGTGTTCCAGATGGCCGCCATGTCGCTGACCCCCGGCGTCACCCACTGGTGGACGGCCGTCGCCAAGTACGGCGTATCCCCCAGCGCCGCCTCCGGTCACGACGACGTCTGCACCTGTTGGCAGTCCGAGAATCCTCCCCCCGGTTCCGCCCAAGGCGACGAAATAGGCCGGTTAGGCCGTCTTCGGGATGGTCCAGGATTAGAACAGTATCCTCCCTACCGCATGATTCCAGACTATTGCCCCATTCGACACCGGGTGGCCATACTTAGGCTGCTGTACCTCATCGAAGGCAAGCACATACCCATCGACTCGGCTCCTCAGATATGGACCTTGGTGGCCATTGCAGAAATATTCGACTGTCTTGGCATAGTGGTAAGTCGCCCATCTCCTTGACAGGATAGCAGGAGGACAAGGAGAGAAAGAAGCTAACGCAATTGATTTTGATTTTTTTTTTTTTTTTGCAATAAACAACAGCGTGCTTTTGTTCTCAACTGGCTTCTTCTCTCCGAAGGAAATTCTGCTTTTATCGAAGTCCTGCCGGAAGAAAGCCTGCGGCTCGGGGCGACTTTCAAATTTATCGACATGACCAGAGCTGCATTCCGCATACTGGTCAACGAGTTTGCATTGGAAGAAACCGGCGCGAATGGCGGCAACCCTGCATCGTCCAAAGTGACACTGTTCGGTCGGAGGCGTCAGAACCTGGAAGACGACTGGAAGAACGCCATACAGCACGCCGCGCGGGCCATGGTGGACCGCATACACTCCCTGGTCGACCTCCTACAGAGCGACCTCCTTTTCGACGAGCTAGACATGGATCAGTGGCAACGTCTGAGGGCACTTGAGGCCCTGCTAGAGCCGCACCGGGAAGATGATCTTTACCGGGACGCAGTACAACTGGCCAAGTCTCTATCGACAACACTCGTGGACCACTTCCGAGAGGAAATCGTGAACGAGTGCTCGGACGGTGCTTTGTCCCAATACAACACACCCCTCCGCAGGTATGACGATGACCGAGCGCTGTACGTAGACCCTCAGGACTTCGTGTCTACCGCAGATGTTTACCAAAGCTTCAATCCGGTCCAGAAGGCTCTCTGCCGGGTGTTTTACGACGAATTCAGGACGAAGTGGCAGGTCCGTCGCTACCAGATGGCGGGCCTCTTCTCGGAGTCCGCTTCTTCTATCAACCATTTCGCGAAGAAAGCTCGTGACTTACACGCGGCTCTGCTGGAACTGGTGGCCGCCCGGCCCGAATTGCTCCACGACGATTCCGAGTGGCGAGAAGTCCTCGAGTCCGACAAGTGCGGGAATGTGACCCCCCCTTTCTTTCGACTGGATCAATTCGAGAAACAGGTCACCGAAGCCCTGCAGCCCCTGATCTTCAGCGCCGCGGCGGCGCAAGCCGACATCTCGCCTCCCATCAAGCTCACGCGACACCTGCTCCTCGTCCTCACGGACGACGAGTTCAAGTACCTGCCCCTCTGGGCCGGCGGGAACGACGACGGCACGGGTGCTGTGTTCGAGAACGCCTTGCCCCCGGCCGACTTTGGGCCCGTCGGGCCCGGCCCTTCGTACCGGACGGGGTTCACGGTCCCCTCTGATGCGACCGACGGCGCCTCGTCTCTGGGCGACGATTTGCGGTCTCTGGCCTTGGATGGGCGGAGCACACTCGGACCGGATAGCTTGGATCCCCAGGTTGACAGTGCGTCGACGATTTATGATCGGAGGAGAGTGGTTGCCGACGATGTTTCCATACACTCCGAGGCCTTCACGGATGGGACTGCGGAGTATAAAGAGGCTCAGTTTGAGGTACCGATCCATAGGGGGAAGGCCTCCTCTGACGAGGCGACGAAGAAGAAGGCAGACGATGTGGATCGGATGTATAATTCGGATGGCGACGACGATTATGATGATCATGATGATGATGATGGTTTTGTTGCTATCTGACAGCTATGAGCTCCAGGGAAGGGCGTTAATTTTGGGGATTTAGGATAAGCGCTGCGTGCAATATGGGTAGCTAAATCAGTGGACGACTATACACATACACCACACATATACTGACCAATACTCCTGCTACTACATCGATGAAAAGAGCCGTAGAGCCTGAACGCCAGGTTTGAACCGTCGGGTATTCTGCTACTCACCGCTATATACAAGACCAAGTGTCGTCTCTCAGATTCATCAGTAAACCTTGTTTTTCCACAGTCCCTGAACTATTATGCCAGAATCCCGCACACTTGTTGACTCCCCTTTTCTTTTTCTTTCTTTTTCTTTTGTTCTTGTTTTATTTTCTTTATCCCTTTCACCCCCGGTTGAGAGTATTGCCCGACCCCTTCGGATTAGCCTCGACAAACTCATCCCACGCCCGGGCCTTGTACGTCTCCTGATCCGCCTTCTCCACGTCATCCTCGTCCGGTTCGGGCCGGTTATAGCTGGACGCGCCACCGCCCTCGATGATGCCGCCCCTCCGCCTCTCCTCCTCAAGGTACTCCTCCACGCTCATGGTCGGGAGGTTGTGGCCGGGCCGGAACACGTTCCGCGTCATCTCCTGCCGCGACCCCACCAGCGTGAACGGCTGCAGCGGCTTCCCCGTCCTGGAGAGGAGCGGGCCGCCCACAACACTCTGCAACCGCCGCGGCGCCTCCACGCGGTCCGTGTACCCCGCGCCGCCGTCGCGCTCTTCCCGCCGCAGCCGCCGCCTCGCATCGTCCTCTACGTTCTGACCCGCCTGCTGCGGGAGCAACGCGGTCGGCATGCGCGCCGCCTGCGCAGCCAGCACCTCCAGCTCGCGGTTTAGGCCCTCCAGCCCCTGGAAGGCCATGTGCGCGGCGAACGACACTTCGGCCAGGTACAGTTCGCGGAGGATCTCGTCGTCGACTCCGCTGGCGGGGTCACCGTCTCCGTCGCCGTCGCCGTCGCCGTGGACTGCCTCGGCGTAGCGCGGGTCGCGGCGCAGCGTCGCCAGGCGGTCCTTGAGCAGTTTCTCGGCGCGGAAATTGGCGATTTTGGCATCGCGTCGCCGGGCTGGGTCGGCGGAGGTGACGGTGGAGAAGGAAAGCGGGTCGTCGGTGTAGCGTTCGTAGAGGGTCCGGTAGGGGCCTTGAAGGGCGTCGTACGCGTCGAGCAGCCCGAGAAACCGCTCGTATGCTTCCCTGACGCGGGAGAGGGCAGCGCGGCGGCGGGCAGGGTCTGACTCGGTTGTTTTCTGGTGTATTTCGGCAAGGTAATAGTTTGCGAGGAGATAGGGTAGGTCCGGGGTGGCAATATCGTCAAGAGGTTCGTTTGGGGAAAAGAGCGACACGCGGGAAATGGCCCTGAGAATCTCTTCATGTATTTGAATTGCGCTGAGAACGTCATCGGAGTATGAAGGGTTTGTAATGGGGCTAGAGTTCTCGAGAGCCAGGCGCTTTTCCTGGGCTTCAGCCCAGATCTGCTTGAGCGTCCGCGGCTGATTTGGATCCTGTCTGTCTGCCATCTTTAGTCGTCGGAGTGTCCGCGTTGGCAGTTTGTCCGTGATGACGTGTTGGGGTCTTCGTTCTCGACCAAATTTCAAGACTCGGTGGAAGTTTGAGGGTAGTGGGAAAGTGACGGAGAAGCTGAAGTTCACTCAAGTTCCCGTACCTCAGATAGCTCCCCGCGGGAGGGGCATCTTATCTTATCTGGGATGTCAGTCCAGGGTACCTGGTACTATGTACCTTATCTTATCAATCATCTTATCGACTTCTTATCCAAAATAGGTACCTAGGTACGTTCATGTCATTCCGGCGACCTTTCTTGGCTTGCCCTTTTCACTCATATTTCTCATCTCGCTGTATCTCCTTCCCTTCACTGGTTTCTCTTCCTTACTCTTGCTACACCTTTGTCTCTTACTTTTCATGAAGCTTCCATGTCAAGCTGTGTGCTAAGAAACATAACGGATCAATACATCCAGGATAAGCGGAGCATTTTTTCTTTCTTTCCTTGTAAAGACGGACATTCCTATTCCTACTCTGCTGGATCACCATGCTTAATGCCGTCGTTTCTACCACCAAAGAAAGAGCATGCTTCTATTCTATTTGTTATTTGCTCCTTTGCCCTTCACCATTAACAAGCAAGAAAGCAAGAAGCAAATTAACAGCCATGACTAGCTCCTGCATGTTCATATTAACTGGGCAGTTCATCGTGATATATCATATTTTCTTTCCATAAGGTAGGTCTGTAGCAACTTTGGTGCGACTCTCCTCACTAACAGCCAGACTCTCAAGCAGGTAGGACCTTTTTCTTTTTTTGGGCAATGGTGGTGAGGATCGAACTTGCCTTCACTCGATACCCCAAATCTTCTTTGCCTTTCACCTTCTTCGGCCCTTGGCTCTTCTGGGCTTCTGGGCTTCTGGGCTTTATATTGCCCTCCCGTCCTCTTCAAACCCCTATATTTGACTCCTTCTACCTCCCACACAGCGCGTCTGATCATATTTGGGCCCCTGAAGGCAGGGACCAGACCAAGTGGAAATCATGGCCATACACGGCCAGCTCACCAGAAGGAAAGACATTTTGCCCCAGTCACCGGGAGAATCTGGAGAGAAGAACGATAGGACGGCCACAAAAGCATGTGCCAAACCTGGCGAGCGAGTCATGGGCAGCATTGCCGACACCTTTGGCAGCAGCAACTCCAAAATGGACGTACGGAAGCTCAGCGATAAGACAACTGGTAGCGACGATGACAACGGCAGCGCCGGCGACGGCGACAGCGACAGCAGTGACTCCCAGTCCTTCACTATCAACCCACCCAAGGCGCCTAAAACTTCGGAGAAGAAACGGGCGGACTATGCTGCCTTTCAAAGTTGGATCCACGATAACCGAGTCCAGAGACCCAATCAACCTGAGCCCATAACTCCTCGCGGTCCCAAAAGGCAGTCTGCATCGCTGCTTCATCAGGGACGGAGGATCATCAACAACCCTCGCGAATACCAGATGGAAATATTCGAAAGAGCAAAGAAGAAGAACATCATCGCAGTTCTTCCCACCGGATCTGGGAAAACTTTGATTGCCGCCATGCTCCTCCGCCATTGCCTCGAGAAGGAGATAGCAGACCGCCATGCCGGAAATCCGAAGCGAACCGCCTTCTTCCTAGTCGAGAAAGTGGCTCTGGTGAACCAGCAGCATGCCGTCCTCGAGTGCAACCTGGATTACCCCATTGCCCGTCTCTGTGGTGCCATGCTGGACCCATCATGGCACCAAGACGACTGGCAGCGCCAGTGGGATGACCACATGGTCGTCGTCTGCACCGCAGCCATCCTGCAGTCATGCCTCGCCAAATCCTTCATCCGCATAGACCAGGTCAACCTCCTCGTCTTCGACGAGGCCCATCACGCCAAGGGAAATCACCCCTACGCTCGGATCATCAAGGATTTCTATGTCTCCGAGCGAGACCTGACTCGGCGTCCGAGAATCTTCGGCATGACCGCATCCCCCGTCGATGCCCAAACAGACATCTCCACCGCCGCCATTCGCCTAGAAGGCCTGCTCCATAGCGAAATAGCCACCATCCCGGATGACGCCTTCTCCTACAAGGACGTCCAGAACGACATCAACGATCACGTCCTCATGTTCGACTACCTGCCGGAGCCCTTTACGACCCCTCTCCACCTCAAGATCCAAAACCTCGTCCGCCGCAACAGGCTCTTTTCAGGCGCCCTGACGTTCTCGCACGCCTCGTCTGCTGTCCTTGGTCCCTGGTGCGTCGACCGCTTCTGGCAGCTGCTCCTGACCGAGGAGATGATCTCTAGGCTGGCTGCCAAGACGCGCTTAGATTTCGACCTTGCATTATTTGGCCAGACCGAGTCGGCCGCCGTGGACCAGCTTCGTCAGGTCATCCGGGGACATTCATTCTCGGAGGTTTCCAGGTCGAAGGACCACTTGTCGTCCAAGGTCATCGCTCTTCTCGATCTTCTCCAGGACCGCTTCAGAAATCCCACGTCTGACAAGTGCATCATCTTTGCGGACCAGCGGAACACAGCTATACTTCTCGCCGACCTTCTCCGGCAGTCGGGAGTCGTTGTCAATAATCTACAAGCGGCTCCTTTGGTTGGAGGTCAGGCCGACGCTGGCCCCTTTTCCATGTCTTATCCCGATCAAGTCGACACGATCCTGCGGTTTAAACGAGGCCACCATAACTGTCTTGTTGCCACTTCCGTCGCGGAAGAGGGACTCGACATCCCCGATTGCAACCTCGTTGTCCGCTTCGACAGAGTCACTTCGGTCATTCAGTACGTCCAATCCAGGGGTCGAGCTCGCCAACAAAACTCGGAGTATGTCTGCATGATCGAGAGGGGGAAATGGAGCCACATAAAGTCGAGGAAGCAGGCTGCCGAGGATTACCTCTACATAAGGAGGTTCTGCAACTCCTTACCAGAGGACCGGAAAATACAGGGCTGGGATCCCGACGCCACCGCTGTTCACCTGGATCGCCACCGGGAGGTCCATGTCATTCCGTCGACCGGGGCTACGCTCAACTGGAGCTCAAGCCTCGAGCTTGTTTCGAACTTTGTCTCGTCTCTCCAGGCCCACGATGAGGTCCTTTCCCCTTCCTATCTGGTTCTTCAGATTGGCCGCCAGTACATCTGCGAGGTCCAGTTGCCGTCGAAATCCCCCGTCCAGGCCGCTTCGGGCACGCCGCAAAAATCGAAAGCGGAGGCCCGGTGTTCGGCAGCCTTCGCTCTATGCATGGAACTCGTCCAGAAGAAATATGTCGACCATCATCTGCGGCCCGTCTTCGCAAAGACCTTGCCGGCCATGCGCAACGCACGCTTGGCTATCAGTTCTAGGAAAAGGGCCGAATACACCATGCGCACGAAGCCTCAGATCTGGTCGCGCCTTGGACCCGTCTCCTCGTCGCTCTTCGCCACCTTCCTGACGCTTGAGAGCCCTGAGGCCGTGGGCCGGTCCACTCGGCCGCTTGTCCTCCTGACCCGTGAGCGCCTTCCGGACCTCCCGGGCATCCCCCTCTTCTTCGGCAATGAGCGGGCCTCGACGGCTCGTCCCGTGGCTGTACCGGGCCCTTTACCGGTGACAGCAGATGACCTGGAATGCGTCAGGGTCTTCACATTGAGGATCTTCAAGGACATATTCAGCAAGGAGTACGACGCCGGTGTGGAGGATCTTCCCTACTTTCTGGTACCCTCTTCCGTCCACCACCATGATCTCAGCTTTTCCGGAGCCACAGATCCTTCTTCCTGTATCGACTGGGGCCATCTGCGCTCCACCAGAGACTTGGAGTATCTTTCTTGGGACGAGACCTCGCCACCAAGCTTTTTCCGAGACAAGTTCGTCATCGATCCGTTCCGGGGAAACCGTAAACTGTACCTGAGAGGTGTCAGGGAGGACATGAAGCCCACGGACCAGGTGCCGGACGGTGTTCCAGACCCGGGATACCGGATGTGGAAGGACGTCGAACACAACATCAAGGAGTACAGCGTCAGCTTGTGGGCGTCTAGGCGTAAGGATCGGGTCTGGAGAGACAACCAACCCGTCATCGAGGCGGAAGTGGTGTCGATGCGACGGAACTTTCTCGGCGAGTTCGAGGAAGAAGAGGAGCCCGCCAACACCTGCTACGTAATTCTGGAACCTCTTCACGTGTCGACGGTTCCGGCAGACGTTGCAGCGATGGCCCTCCTGTTCCCCGCCATCATGCACCGCATCGAAGACAACCTGATCGCCCTCGACGCTTGCAAGATGCTGAAGCTGGAGATCCGTCCGGATCTGGCCCTCGAGGCCATGACCAAGGACTCGGACAACAGCGAAGACCACGACCAGGAAAAGATCAACTTCCAGGCGGGCATGGGGAAGAACTACGAGCGGCTAGAGTTTCTCGGAGACTGCTTCCTCAAGATGGCCACCACCATCGCGCTGTTCACGCAGATTCCCGAGAACAACGAGTTTGAGTACCACGTTGAGCGAATGCTGCTCATCAGCAACCAGAACCTCCTGAATGTGGCCTTGAAGAAGAACCTACAGGAGTTCGTCCGATCGCAGCAGTTTAACCGCCGAAGCTGGTACCCCGAGGGGCTGCGTCTGAAACGGGGAAAGGCGGCACGAGCCAGGGCGGTGCACTCCCTCGCCGACAAGTCCATCGCCGACGTCTGCGAGGCCCTCATCGGCGCCTCCTATCTGACCTACACGGAGGAGGAGGAGAAGGAGGAGGAGGAGGAGGACTTTGACATGGCAGTCCGGGCCGTGACGGCGGTGGTCAGAAACAAGAACCACAAGATGTCGTCGTACAAGGACTATTATGCCCGTTTCCGGGTGCCAGACTGGCAAACGGCCGCGGGTACCCCCGACCAGCTCCGCGTGGTACGGGAGATCAAGGAGCAGATGGGGTACGAGTTTAAATCACCTGCGCTACTGCGGTGCGCCTTCAAACACCCGTCGTACCCTCGGCAGTACGAGAACGTCCCGAACTACCAGAGGCTCGAGTTCCTTGGCGACGCTCTGCTGGACATGGTGTGCGTCGACTTTCTCTTCAAGAAGTTTCCCCACGCAGACCCGCAGTGGCTTACCGAGCACAAGATGGCCATGGTGGCCAACGAGTTTCTCGCCTGCCTCTGCGTCCACCTCGGGTTCCACCACCGCATCCTCCATTTGAGTCCTGGCATGTCCAGCCAGATCAAGGAGTACGTCGGAGACCTGCACCTCGTGCGGCGCGAGGCGGAACACAATGCCGCGTCCCCCGACGAGGTGAAACCCAGCTACTGGATCCATGTGGACCAGCCGGGCCCCAAGTTCCTGTCGGACGTGGTGGAGGCGTACATCGGCGCCCTGTTCGTGGACTCGCAGTACGATTTCGGGCAAGTCCGCCGGTTTTTCGAGCAGCACGTCCGGCCGTTCTTCACGGACATGGCCCTGTACGACTCGTTCGCGAGCCGGCATCCCGTGACGACGCTGACGCACAAGATGCGAGAGGAGCTGGGCTGTCGGGACTGGCGGCTGCTCGTCAGCGAGGTGCCGCCCGCGGTGGACGAGGCCGGCGCGGCTAGCATGACGGACACGACGGTGGTGTGCGGGTTCATGGTTCACGGGCGCGTCTGCGTCCACGAGACGGCAGTCAGCGGCCGCCATGCCAAAATCGCGACTGCGAAGACGGCTTTGAAGAAGTTGGAGGAGACGGGTTGGAGGGAGGCGTTTCGGAAGGCGTTTGGCTGCGATTGTGATGGGATGGGCGGCCGGGGTGGTGACGAGCTGCCTTTTCAGTTGACCGGCCAGACGGGCTAGGCGGAGTATTTCGTAGAATACGGCTCGCTAGGTATTACATGCTCCCTCAATGAATGCTGCCTCGTATGCTTCTCTCTCTCTATCTATATATATCTTTAACGGGTGCCTTTTTCCCCCTTTTAGGTGGCACCAGACCCGGGTTCATGTACACATCCAACGACAGCGCACACCGCAGTATATCATCGTCTATCCACCCTAGTTACCTACCATAACGACAAATAATAATGCTAGGCAAAACGCTCAGATAGATGAGTGAGGTAGGTGGATACGAAGAACCACCAGGTGAACCAGCATACTGACAAGTGGCGCGCCTCCCTCACAGCTTCTCCCGAATGGCAACAAACAGAGCATCACCCTTAGCCAGCACAGTGCCAGCCTCATCCTCGATGGTCCCGACGACGAAGACCTTCCGGCCCTCGATGCGGTCGATGCGGGCGCGGCAGAGGAAGGTACCCGGGCCGGGGACCGGGCGGATGAAGGTGGTGAGGAGCGAGGCGGTCATGAAAGGCGTGTTGGGGAGGGCGCCGCGTTGCTTGTTGATGGGGAAGAACATGCCGGTGACCTCGTCGAGGATGGTGGCGACGATGCCGCCGTGCACGGTGGAGGGGAAGCCGCAGAGGGTCTCGCTTAGGGAGACGAGGACTCGGAGGCTGCGGATGAGCGGGGCGGTGGTGGTGGTGGTGATCGTGGTTGTTGGTGTTGTAGTTGATTCTGGCGATTGCGCTGATGGCGGTTGTGCGGCGGGTAGAGGTGACGAGGGGGACAGGGAAGAGGAAGAGGAAGGGGTGGAGGAGGTAGTATTAGGCGGAGGTAGGTCGTAGATGGCGAGGAAGGCGGGGATGGTGTCCTTGGTGTTGAAGGTGCGGGAGAAGAGGTAGTCCTCTAGGTTCCGTTTAGAGAGGCGGCCTGGAGCCACGTCTATGAGGGTGTCCCCTTTTTCTTCTAGGTGGGCGGCGCACCACGGGATGGATTTGAAGTGGTGGTAGTCCGGGCTGGTGATAGCGCTGTGGGATCTCATGATGGGAGTTGGGTCGGTGACGGATGGTTGAAAAAGGGAGGGGATCTATGAGAACTTTCATGTGATATTGTGAAACAGCTGTAGGAGCAAAGCCTGCGATGGAGAGAAGTAGAGGCGGGGCAGTGCGGAATACAGATAGTCCGACCCTGAGTGTTCTGAGTGTTTAAGCCGGCCCGAAACCTGCAAACTCGTCGGATGTCAGTCAAGGTACTTCGCTTCGTAAAGTAGATCGGAGCGAGCGGCAGTTGAATTCGACGCCGAAGTGACGATACCTCGTGATGATGGAGGATGAGTACTCATGCCTCGGCAGATCTGGCTTGGTACCTGACCCACTCATTTCTGGTCGGTTTATTATTACTTTTTAGGTCTAACACCTCAGCCAATAAAATAGACCGAAATGGAGCCACCGGATAACAACGATAATAACGACGACAATAACGATAAAAGGACCACGACGACGTTCGTCCTTCTAGTAGCTTCAACAACGCCGAGCGCCAGCACCATTTCATTATCAGATTGAGGTAGGTATCCACTGTAGCTCGTCTCGTAGGCTCTCTTGTTGATTCGGTCAGGAAGGATGTCGACGACGGTCCTAATGTCGAGGAAGAATCTACGCGGAGATTCGCTAAGGTACTATGATTCTCGCGGCCTCGCCCCAGGTAAGGTAGCTGACGAAGAAGGGAAGCCAAGGGAAGTATTTAGCTTTGCCTGATCCGGCTCCTGGGGCCTTCTTCGTCTCCTTCCATTTGGTACATTCTAACTTCCTGAAGAAGGGAGGCTGCCGGCAGGCACGTTTGATCCTTCCTCCTCTGACTCTGCTCTGTTAAAGTCAACTTTCATTCGTGGCTCCTTCCAGGCGGGTGCGTCGGTAGTACCTGTCCTACTTCCATATAAGTAAGGTACCAGGTAGGTCGTTCTTGCTCCGTTTTTCCCTCCTTTCCCTTCTCTTCTCTTTCCCTCCCTCTAAGGTAACCTTTAAACGCTCTCCGTGGATCTACTCCCCCTTCCCCTCCCCCTTCCCTCCCCCTCCCCTTCCCCTTTGCTCCGCCTCGACCTGAATTACCTTATGACTCTGCGCTGACTTTCGGTCATTTTTGTGGAAGACTCACTTTGTCTTTTCCTGTCCCTACCTTATTCCGTTTCTCCTCTACCTTTAGTGCTACCGTCAAGAACTTTCGGTGCCGTCGACTCACCCACCCCCACACGTATATCCACCCCCTCTTCTTCCGCGCTAAATGACTGCAGGATAATGCGCCTTCCAGTTTTTTTTTCTTTTTAAAAAAAGGAAGTCATGTCGGGTCGGCCTTTCTTGTCAAACACAATCGGTGTCGTATGATGCCTTGGTGGTCTGGTAGCCATGTGGGAGGGTCAATGTGTAGCCCTCCTGACATTCCCTAACGTCTTCTCACGAGATCCGGGAACTTCATGGGCAGCGATGCACGAACCAACCCTTGTTTTGCAGGGACGGAGCGTTGGGCCTGGCTGGCTGTCACCTCTCACCTCTTCCACCGAGTTTCACACTTACTTTTATACGACTTACACCGTACGTCAGCCATGAGCCCTCTGCACCTCAGACCTCAGACCTCAGGCCTTTGTTCTCACCTTTGCCCCTCGCACCGCACATGAACAGATATATGACACTGTAGCACTCTTCAGCCTTCGAATATCTCCATATCCTTCTCGCTCTCCTATCTATGTCTCAGCGCTAGAAATCCTGCTCCATTTCCAACGCAAACCTAAATCCCATGTCCTACCACGCAGTGCCTATCACCCCTCCGCGTTCTCCCCTGCGCCAACGCCAACGCCAACGCCAACGCCATGCTTCCTTGCCTCCTCGGCCGGGGGGCATCCGTAAGGAATCTGATCTCCCCACAGAGTTATCCGAAGCCAAGATGGCGGCTATCAGGGGAGAAAAAGTTGCCGCAAACCTACGTGCCCTATTCGACAACGAGACTTCCACCCATGTGAACCGCTCTTGGAGTTCTTCGTCATCCTATCCTCAGTTTCGCGAAAGTTCAGCGTCTTCATCAGACCTCCCCCCGTTCCAGCGCAGCATATCCCTGGGTCTTGCGCAGGACCCCGGATATCATAATGGCTTGCATCGCATCCCTGGTCTTCGCGCGTCCTCTGGTTCCTCGCAGCCTTTGCGCCGTGACGTATACACTGGGAGCAACTCGAACGAAACAAACGACGCCCCTCGCAACGGTAGACCTCGGATGAGCGACTATACTACCGTATCCGACGTTCCCCATATGAGCCTCCGGGCCATGAGAAGCCGTCACTCCGCCGCAACCGACGCCGAGGCAGACTGCACGGGCGACTCCTCGCCGGAGATAAATCCTACCTTCACAGATGTGTCTCCACTGATTCCTGCCATTCCGCGGCGCGCTCCTGAGTTGAGGGACACAGGTGGCAGGAAAACGACGCCGAAGCCTCAGAAGAAGACAAAGCCGTCATATTCCAGGCCCATCAAGCGGAAAGAGTCTACACCACGTCTGTATCTTCGCCGAGCCAAGTCAGTTCTACACACACGGCGAGTCATGATTCGCAGGTGGTTCAAGGGGATGCTACGACGGGACAAGAGAGACCCCGTGCCTCCTCCAGCTCCAGAAAGGCGTGTATGGTCTTCTCGGAAAGAAGGAAGCATTCCGCGACTAGCCAAGAGGTTGAGCCTCTTCTCCTTGCGGTCGCGGAAACGGGTCGGTGCAGATAACAAGTCGATATAGACGACGAAATCTGATTTGCAGAGAACACTTTGACCGTTTCGTTCAACGCCAAGGAGGCCACCTTAGTCGGCGTCCGTGGCAAAGGGGGTACATAGGTACAGTTCGGAGAAGGAGAAGAATGGAGAGGCCGGAGCACGAGAGGTGATGTCAACGTGAAGAATGAACGGGCCACGATGCTGTAGCAGCAAGTATCTGCTGGCTTGGGTATAGTGTAAAAAGAGAGAACACCCACAGGAAGCAATGCCCAGCTGTACAGCCGCAGACAAGGAGGCGGAAGAGAATATATCGATTCATTCATCGTCGATTTATGTCTTTACCAGGTCTCATATACAACACCAGTATGGAAAATGTCGCTATACCCCGCTGCCGCCAGCTGCAATTAAAAAGAGGCAGGAGGGAGGGGAAGAGAAGAGAAGAGGACCAAGAAGGAATCCAAAACATGTACGCTGCTGCAGCGGGGTGTGACTAGAGAATGTACCGAAAACTTTCCGCGAGCGTCCTGCGCCGCGGGTTCGACTTCACGAGACCAACTTCTTCCTCTCCCCCCTCGTTTTCATGATGGGACGTATCTCCCCCGTCGGCGTGGGCGCGATCCAGCCGGACGTTCAACCGACCGAGGTAAACCCGCAGGGCCAAGGCCAGGAAAGCGACGGCCAGCATGGCGCAGGCGCAGGCGAGCATGCCGGGGGCGTAAAAGGGGGCGTCGCGGTCCGGGTAGAGGCGGGTGCCGACGAGGGGCCCGCACTGGCCCACGACCTGGAGGAGGGCGAAGCCGGCGCCCTGGCGGGTGTCGGACGGTTGGTTGTTGACGGACCAGGCGATGACGAGGACGACGACGCTGAAGAAGCCGGCGGCGGCGGGGTAGACGGCGGCGTAGCGCACAGCGGGCGGCAAGTCGAGGGGTTTCGCGAGGGCGAGGACGGCGTAGCCGGCGGCGGAGGCGAGGGCGTGGAGGGCGATTGGGTAGGCGCGCGAGCGACGGCGGTCGGAGAAGGCGGCTGTGGCGAGCACGGAGGCGAAGGCGACGAGGTAGGGCGGCGCGGAGAGGGCTTGGGCGGCGAGGCGGGAGTGGCCCATCTCGGAGAGGATGGTGGGGAGGAAGACGGGGAGGGAGGCGTAGGCCATATTAGCGAGGAAGAGCATGCCGGCTGTGAGCCAGGCTAACGGGTCGCGGAGGGTCTGGAGGATTTCGCGGGCCTTGAGCGAGCCGCGGGCCGTGGGTTTCGAGGACGAGGACGAGGACGAGGACGGTGAGGAAGCGGAGGAAGAGGAAGAGCGTCGGCCATGGGCCTTCTCGCGGCGGAGACGCAGGCGGGCCACCTTGCGTTCCCGTGGGGTGAGGTATGAGGCGGTCTCGGGGGCGTCGGGGACGATGCGCCAGGCGAGGAGGGAGACGAGGACGGAGGGGAAGCCCTCGACGAGGAAGAGGAGGCGCCAGGGGGCGATGGGGCCGGCGCTGCCCAGCTTGACGACCAGCCAGGCAAGAGAGGCGGCAAAGGAGGATGCGAGGGGGGCGGCGGAGACGAAGATGGCGGTGCGAAAGGCAAGCTCCTCGCGTTTGTAGAAGAAGGAGAGGTAGAAGGGGACTCCCGTGAAGGCGGCCTCTCCTATACCAAGGATGGCGCGGAGGGCGATGAGCATCGGGTAGGAGACGGCGATGGCTTGCAGAGAGGCGACGACGCCCCAGGAGAGGACGACGAGGCAGACGTAGATGTGGGCGGGGATGAGTTTCCAGAGGAGCGACATCCACTCGAAGAGGATATAGGTGATGTAGAAAGATGTTAGGGCCCATTGGTACCAGCCTTGCCAGGGCGGGTCGGTTTGGAGGTCTTCTTCCATGCCGGCGACACGTGCATTTCCAATGTCTATGCGAGAAGTGGAAGGTCAGTTTTAGAAGCCAAGACAATGGGGGAAATTGGCTCAAAGGTAGGGAGCATGAAAATGAAAAGAGCAGGACATACTGGACCTATCCAAGAAGCTAAGCATGTAGAGCAGCGCCATGAAGAGAACAAGACGTCTGTCGAACTTGCGGACAACAGCCTGCTCCTCGTCGGGGGTGTAGAGCTGAAAGCTGGCAACGGAGCTGACGCTTCCATGGCGTTCCGGCGCGGGTCCCGATCCCGATCCCGATGCAGACACCGACGCCGACCCGGGCCTTATCCAACCGTCGCTGTCTTCTTCGTCCTCCTCATCGTCTTGTACACCCTGTGACCTAACCGGTCCCTGATGTTGCTGCCGCATTCTCTTCATCTCGAACGCTTCGCCGCCATCTGACCCAGCTTCGCGTAAGCTGAAGTCGCTCTTAGCGTCATCGTCGTCAAGGTCGAGGTCGCTCTCGAGGCTGAATTCGGCCGTGGTCTGGGCGAAGGAGGGGGAGGCGTCGCCTGGCCGCAGGAAGCCCGAACGCGAGGGTCCCGCCATGATCCAGATTAGCCGGGAGCCGTCGTTCCGAAGGGTCTGCAGCGAGAAGAGCGCGTTTCTTTGGATTCGCGGTCACCTCGGGGTCCCTGGGCGGCCGAAGGACGAGGAGGAGGACCTGCGGTCGCAGAGCCTCATATCTCTCCCGTGGATTGTGGAAGAAGAGACGCAGGCTGTGTGCCGAATACGGGTAGAACTCGCGGCCAGCGAAACTGGAAGTGATCGATACTGAAGAACCACGACTTGAGGTTATGAATGAATATTCCTGCTTTGTCGCGTCATTGGAGGGGGGTTGGTTGTGCGCAGACCTTTGGCGGCCTTGGCCATTGGTCATTGCTTCAAGCTCTCTCTCTCTCTCTCTCTCTCTCTCTCTCTCTCTCTCTCTCTCTCTCTCTCTCTCTCTCTCTGTGCGTGTGTGTTTCTCCTTCCTAGCTTCTCATTGGTTGGCGACTGACTGGCGGCTTAAGCCAATGGAACCCGGCACAAAAAAGTGCACACGACGTCATCGTAAGGGGATGAGATACGGATACGAGCTACATAAGGTACGGATGTCGCGTGCTCGGATTTTCTTCTTCCGACATCGGCGCATCCGTATTCCATGTGATCGTAGCCCAAGTCACCGTCACCGTCACCGTCACCGTCCATCTTCTTCCCGCTCGTCCATCTTGTCATCGCCTGAAATGCTACTAGGTATTAGGCAAGGATGTCTGTGCTGGACGGGCAACAACAGTATAAAACGAGAAAAACACAGACTGGACAACGAAAACAGATGCCAGATAAGGCGAAAAGTGTCGCACCAGCATTGGGGATGCTGATGTTGCTCGCGCTGAAAATCTTTGCGTCTTTCACCTTATATATTAACAGATCCAACGCAGCGCCAGGCTAATCAGCCATGGCCGCATGAGATGAGGCGGTCCCCTGAACAGGGAGCCAAGATGCAAGAAGTATAGATGGCAGCGAAGAAAGAACCAAGCAAACAAACCATTTGCCCCTGGCTCCCGGTCATATCCAGCTGATGATGATTGCCAGAGCAATGCTGGTTCCGCCCGATGCGACGAGTACAAACCCGAAATAAAGGACCAACCTATGCAGAACATTATGGAGGGCGACGACCTCTGTTCATATGCAGCAACTTCAGTCCCCTCCTTCCCCCTTTGAAAGATGCAGCCCCCAACGCCTCCCCATGCCAGATGAACGCCACAGATGCCAAACCCTCTTCGACATGCCGTACACGTAGAAGGGCGAAGAACAAATTTCCCAACCCCAATACAATGCGTGCCCACACCGCCGGCGCCTATCCCGGGGTGTGCACGCGCGGAATTTAGAACGAGCTTCCCTTCTTAAACTCGTTTTCGCCTCGTTCGTCATCCGAGTCGGATGAACGGGCCACCTCCTTTCCCTTCCCCTTCGCTTTCGTCATCACCAGCCCGAGTGGCTCTTTCATACTCTTCCGGCTACCCGGTCGCTTTGCAGTCGACCTTCGCGACAGCCTCGGCCGGCTCTCCTCCCCCTTCCTCCTTCGATCGTCCCCGGCCACTTCGATCGTCGCCGTCGCCGCCGCCGCCGCCCCTTTCAGATCCTCGCCTGACGAGTTGCGCCTTGTCGGCGGGGCCGTCGAAGCCGTATTGCTCTTCAGTTCCCTCAACTCCCGCGCCACATCCGCGAAGCTCTCTTCCAGCGTTTTCATCCGCGCTAGCACGAGCCGGCCCATGCGGTCTCGGTCTGCGGCATCGATCGTCGGGGCCCCGAACCGGGAATCCTTCATCAGAGCCATGGCCATTTGCGTCTGGAAGCTGGAAGGCAACCCTGCCGTAGGGTCATTGGCCGCCGCCGCCGCCGCCAGAAGATTCGTATTGTCGGACATGGTGCTGACGTCGACCGAGGAGAGCCGCCTTGCGCCGCCGGGGGGTCGCTGACGTGGCTCCAACGGCGGAGCCAGGATTCGATTGGGCGCCGTCTGTGCCATCTCCCTCGGCGCCACGATGGGCCGCGGCTTCGACGTTGCCATGTACAACCGCCGCCGTGGCGAACGATGGCGGCTCCCCGAAGGCGTCTCGACTATCGACGCACGAGCACTCAACGGCTGCGAACGGGCTGGCGTTGCCTGTTCCACCGGGGACGCCGACGATGTGCTGATGTCGCGTCGGTTTTCCTGCGGGACGTACAGGATGGTATTCGTCGACAGCGTCCGGCTATGCAAACCTAACCGGCGTGGGTTCCCTGAACGGGGCGACACCGCCCCTGGCGCTTTACTGCTCGCGTCCTGGGGGGATGCAGATGCTGCCGCCGGGGAAAACCGACTAGTCATGGGTGTTGTGAAGTAGTCCACCTCCTGCGCCTGCACGCTCTTTCCTTTATGCCCATCTTCCCCCGTATTTGTAGCTGCGTCTTCTTCTTCCTCTTCGTCGTTCGTCACCAATTCGTCGTCCCCGTCGGCGTCGGTATGATCTCGCAACTCGTCATCCCTCTTGGGTCGGAACACGTAACTCCGATTCAACGATCCCAGCGGTGCGTTGCTCTGTGACATCAAGTCTGCAGGGTCGCTTGCTGCCGACCGAATGTCGGAGAACTGTCGAGATCGGCTGGGGCCGAAAGCTCGGTTCATGCTGAACCTCCGTTGCCAGTGTGATTTGGGAGCTCGGCTCTCGAGGGTCGGCCAATCACGAGGGCGAGGTGAGCCCCCAGCTTCATCATGCTGGTCCATCCAACTTCGGATAGCGTTCTGGGTCTTCCTCCGCTCGTACCGTCTCTGGTTCCGCAAAGTGGTAAGCCCGGGCCCCCTGCGGAAGACCTCCTCAAGGGCATGGTCCTTCTGGAACCCAACAATGGATTCCTCTCGAACACGAACGTTGGGACTGAACAGTGCTGTCCGACTCGAAGGGTCCACAAAGGAAAGTCCCCTGCTATGACCGCGACCTGGGTTCTCAACGAGGTCTGTCGGCTCGAACATGGAAGATGCTAGCCAGTACCTCTCGTACAAGTAAATGCAGAAGAGGAGAGGGAAGTGCGTGACCTTAATAATGGACCTATTCAGCAACACGAAATGCTTCAATGGCAAGAAATATCGAAGCGGCATGAGCAGCCATGCAAAGATGTTGCCGGGAGCCACGTAAGAAAACAGAGCATCGTTCTTGACCATGGAGATGGTATTAAGAGCGAACAGAAATCTGGAGATCGGTCAGCGTGCAATGTGCGACGAGGGGTAAGAGAGGGAGGGAATAATGGAGAAGACGTACTGGTGCTCTTCCGTAGCATTAGATGCTATCTTCATGAATGAGTTGGTCAGGACAGTAATGAGGATGGTACTATCATATGTGTGAGCCATTGGTGAAGGAGACGAGAGGGAGGATCATGCAACCAGCCGTTGCAACCAGGTCCTGCAATCACTTACACCACAACAAAGTGACAGATGATGAGGAACAGTGCCATCAACGCCTTTTCGAGGAAACTATAGGTTGGCCAGCTGTCGTCGGGGTTTGGTTAGCCGCCAGCCCAAAACCAGCATGGGAAAATGACGAAATGCCCAACTCACACGCTCCACGCAGCAGGTGTAAACCCCATGAGGATCTGGAATATCTTATATGCCACCTCAGAGGCGTCGTTGCGGTTCCTGGCCAAGGTGAAGAATACAAAGAAACCACTGCAAGCGACCAGCACGAGTATCAGAACAGCCGCTAGATCCACGGCCATGAGCCGGAAGGCGATCAGTAGCTGCGAGAAATACTGATAGTGGTCCAGGACGCTGAAGATGCGTGGCAGGAGAAGGATGGCGTTCGCAGCCAGCACATCATACGCCAGGTCGTTCCAATGCTTAGGGTCAACGAGGAACACGCCGTAAGCACGCATGCCGTAGTACACAATCAGGAGAACCAAGATGCCGAGGTCGAAGATATTCCAGAAGCTCATGATGTAGAGCGAGAACCCCTGTTCGTTGAATCCAACCAGCTCATCCAGCATGAAGCCGGCAGACCAAAACCAGAAAATCAATTCCAGGGAGGTAATCCGCGTAGATCTCTGGGCGAGCACAGCCAGGAAAAGACCAATCAGGACCAACAGGGACAAGGTGGAGAGGAAGAACCTGTACCGGGGAACACGAAGACGCGATAGTTTGAAGAGAGAAGCCTGGCGTGGGTCGTATAGGATCACGGTCCTTCTACCGGCGCCACGGAGCGCGGTGTCCCGGTCCTGGGATTGGGTTCCGAGGAGTGGGGTCCTAGAATCGGGCTTAATGCCTGGGTGGACAGGAGTCGACGGCGGGCCACGGTGTAATGTGTCCGCGGAGGAGTAAAAGGAGATGGCACCGCTCCAGATGGCTTCCAGCTGTTGCACGACAAGCGGGTGCGCAACAAAGTGCTTAGCCGAGGCACGGATGGCAACCTCGAGAGTCGAGGTCCTCGAGGCAGTGAGCCCCGCCTTGATCCTGGAATCCGTATTCGCGTTGGCAGGAGGGAGACTGGCTCCGGGGAGGCCCTGGAGCGGGTAGAAATCGTAGGACAGGGCGTCGATAAGCTCCCGGGTCGTGTATTCCTTTAGGAGCTTTAAGGCGAGCAACTCGCAGACCTTAGCCCGGGTGACGCTAGTGCCCGCATTGCCAGGAAACATCTGGCCCTCCTTTTGGAACTGCAGGCAGTTTGCCATTAGGGCATAAAGGGTAGCTCTTGAGAAGTGTTGGGTCCGAATCTGTTGCTGCATGGGCTTCACTAAGAACTGAGATACCTGGGGGGAGCGAAGCTGTTCCCATGTGAGGGTCGTCTCGGTGCGCGTCTGGACAATGATGCGAATCGCGTGGGTAATGTTGTAGATGGGCAGCGAGTCTGAAATTCCCGAGGGGAAAGGGGGACAAGTTAGCAATGCGGGAAAACGAAAGCTCGGGGTTTCTTGCTGCGAAGAGAAAATAACGACAGAAGTTGCATGAAAACATCAAAGGGACAGAAAGGTGAAAGTCGAGAAATTACCCAGATATGCGGCCGAGAAGAGAGGGAGCACGGGCATGGAACGGCGAACTCCATCCTCGTCGTTCGGGTCTGGCTCCTCATCCTGCAGTGGGCCCATTCTCGGTTCGTTCGAGTCTTCGTCATCGTCATCGGCTTCGGTGAAGTCTGCCGTCGCGTGTCGGTGTGGAGGACGTGCCTGGAAGGCTGGTCCGGATGTCGGGGAAGAAGGGGGGAGGCGATCGGGGTCAGCTAGGCGACGGCCGCGATGTTTAGGGCGAAGGAACGAGGAGAACATCTTGTCGAACTTGAAGATACAGCTCTCGGCCTCGTTTCACCGTCTGTCGTGTGGCGTCACAACACCGCCATGGGACAACACGGGGAGGCGGAAGCGGAACGGGTTAAGGAGAATCGGTGGAATCGAGATTAGTAACCCCCGACAAGCTACGAGCCACGAATCACGAGGCACGCAAGGGGAGACGTGAGGCGATATCGAAGTAAAGCAAAGGCGGGAGGGAAAGGATAACGAGTAAGAAGGAAGGTAGGGATAGCAGAAGGAGATAAGTACGAATACTTCGTAAAAAAGGAGGTGATTAACCTACCTAGGTACCTACTGAAGGGGAAGGTATGGCAGAAACGCATGGCCCGTGCAAGGTATACGGTACGTATGTACTTCGGACGAGATCTCGACTTCTGGAATACCCCTGACCCTGGTCTTACCGAGTGGTCCGTGCTGATCCCAATGCCGCTAACGACTCGTTCTAGCACTGACAAAGTACACTTATATGGGTCCTGATGAGACAGACAGTGGGACCTAAACTGGTGGAGAGGACAAAACGTTTTTCAAAAGAAACCCGGGCTCCTTCAAGGACTGCAAAGTAGAGACCTATCTATTTCGTAGTAGCTAATTAATTACACCTTACTACCTTTTGGAAGTGCATCATTCTGCCAAGCTGCTCGAGTCTGGTGATCCGCGTGAAGCGCGATGTAATGCAGACATGCAGGCAAACTAGCACTACTCGATATGCAGGATGCTATGTCATGTTACATGCAACTCGGTAATGGTATGGTCACCTACCTTACAAGCTAGGCTACCTAGGCTTTATAGATACCTAGATTCCTTATCGCGGTGGTGGATCTGGCTCTCGGGACCCAAGAAGTCCCCAATGAACTCCGTCAACAAGCAACCTAGATGCAGTCACTTCACGACTACCTTATGGTGGTGTGACAACTTGGGCTTGGTCGAGGGGTTGTATTGTAGCCAGCATCTTCTCCAGCGACCATCAGTCAGATATGAGAATTGCGCCTCTCTTACCTAGGCAATTTGATGCACTCAATCAGATAAGCATGAATGTGTACCCAAGTAGAGACAAATGTACGAAGCACGATGTTTCGAGCCTAAGGTACCTTACGTCGTAATAACCTTATGCACCAGGCATGAGACAGGGATTTGGTTGTGTAGTGTAAAGGGGGCCTGCTGACCAACACGGGATGCGAGGAGGCGAGTGGCTTTAGACCCAACGGTTGGGTGAGCCACGGCGTTTCGGCTGTTTTCCTCCACTATTATAATAACCATCATCCATTACCATCGAGATTCTCGGTCTTCAGTATTAGGTACCTTAGCCTTAGGCTCCCAGGTTGTTAGTCTCTTAATAAGTCGTCGCCCTTTTGCCATATCTGATAAAATCGTCTTCTCGTATAAAACCTACAGTGCCTCCTCCTAACCACCCCAAGATCTTCCATCATCGCTTATTCTTCTCATCAACTGTTACTACAGCGCTATATTCATGACCAGCGACGTGCCTACCTACTATTGGCAGATTTTGGTTATGGGGCTGCCAGGCAAGTACCTAGGTATATATTGTTGCATTCATTACTACTGGTTCTGTATTCGGCTATAGGATTGATTGGAACTGATCTTTGGAAAGCGTGGTATCGAGACTCGCGAGATACCTGAGCGCGGAATCTGGGCAGAGAGAGCTGAGACATAAAATACGTTCGTACACCCATCTGGACACACGGCGCATTAAGGTACTAGGTATTGAGGAATGGCATTGAGGATGTGTCACTTGAGGATTGAGGGGTGTTCGCATGTCGGATGTTGGGAAGACGGCCGCCGCACTGCTTGCATGGATCCCCGTCACCGCCTACCATTGGTGCATCGTCTACTGGGACTACGGGGGAATCGACACCACCCCGCACGACCTACCAGCCTCTGGGCTCTCGATGCAACCTATGAATACTACGGATACTTCGCTTTGTACATTAAACACAGCCGTCACAATGGGGAAAAGAACTTCTTGATTGGAGAACTCCTTCACCGCCTGTGATGTCTTCCACACCATCTTTTGTCCACCTTGACTGGCCAAAGTAATTAAGTTCAGGTTTGTTTTTCTCTCGGCACGTGGGGGTCCCACAATACTAGACATTTGTTACTAAAAGTCTTCCATGAGCTCAGAAGGATGTTCTTTTCTCATATGTTACTGCCACGCCCATAAGTAATAGCGCCGAAACTGTTACTCATCGCGTGAGTTATCCGCAGTCCTGGTTTAGCCTGCCTGAGGTAAGTATCCGAATCCACTAGATGGACTGGATAAATAAAGGAGATGCCTCTGCGGGGATGAGTGACGATCAGCAAGCTTTTGGGAATAGTCAGCAGTTTACTATAGTACTTCCTGTATAAGGTAGCTAATAACCACACTTTACTCGCAGCAACTTCAAGTTGTCTAAGGTAGGTTAATGTATCTCAAAAATACTAGCGATGGTAGGTACTCTGAGAAGATTTCATGTTCATAGCAGCGCGGGTACCTACTTCGTTCGTACTTTCCTACCCCACTTCTCACCGAGAAACCACTCACCGAGATCAGGAACGTGGAGACGACACTCTTGACATATAAGGTACACCTAAGTGATCGTGCCTGTACTCCCCACAAAGGCCAAAGGCTACAGTATTGGGAATCTATAAGGTAACCAAGATACCTATCGAAAATCATCCGTCAACTCATTTATGCTCCTTCGAGGCGTTTAGCTTCTATTGCCTGAGCCAATTTCTGGAGGTTGCGCTGCGGTACTTTTGTACTTTGTACTTCGTACGTACAAGACCGAAAATGCTCAAAACAGCCAACGTACCGTACCTGAGGTACATCACAGGTACGTTGTACTTCGTACTCCGTATAAATCACTTTAAATCTTGGCATAAGGCCCCACGAAAAATCAACGAGGCCGTCCCGATTGGCTGTCTGTCATGGCTCCTGCCCAATAATAGTCAATATCGTGAAGAGTTCAAGAACCACCGAACGCGACTGCCCAGTGGACCTTAGCATCCCGGTTGTTCTGGAATTGGCCAATCCACAGGTACGACACACTAACGACTGCCGCTAACGGAGGGGCGAGGCGAAGCCGCAAAGGCGGCCACTGACGGGGAAAGGAAAAAAAAAATCGAGGAGTTAAAAAAAAGTTTTTGGATGACCTCGTTTTTCCCCTCCTCTCCTCCTCTTCTCTCTTTCCCCCTCCTTCTTTTCCTCCTTCCTCCTCACAATGAACGTCTGAACCTACAGTCTGTCTTCCCTCTGATCTCTGCCCGCAGATGATCCCTGGGAAGTTCAGGATCTAATATACTCCGAGACTCTCTTGACGAGGTCTCTCATCTTCCTCTTTGCTTAACTTCGAGCTGGTCATTCTATCCATCATCATCATATCAGTTGGATCGACCTCGACTTCTACGTCCGCTAACCACCATGGCGGGCAAAATTTACCCCCCTGCCTCGTCGCGCCTCGCCGATGTGAACGGCGGTGGCAATGGAGGCCACGAGCCTCTCATGTGCCTCGAGCTTCCTGACGGCTCCGTCTACCAAGGCTACAGCTTTGGCGCCCAGAAGAGCATCGCTGGCGAACTTGTCTTTCAGACCGGCATGGTGGGATACCCAGAGTCGGTAACAGACCCCTCCTACCGTGGCCAGATTTTGGTCATTACCTTCCCCCTCGTCGGCAGCTACGGTGTTCCCTCACGCGAGACTGTGGACGAGCTTCTTGGCGACCTCCCCGCCCATTTCGAGTCGTCTCAGATCCATATTGCTGGCCTCGTTGCTGCCACCTACTCCGGCGAAGACTACTCTCACTTTCTCGCCGAGTCCTCTCTCGGCACCTGGCTCAAAGAACAGGGTGTCCCGGCTATCTACGGTGTCGACACGCGAGCTTTGACCAAGCGTATTCGGATGGAGGGCAGCATGCTCGGCCGACTGCGCCTCCAGACCAAGAAGTCGTCCTCTCTCCCCGATGGCGAAGTAAACGGCATCAAGCCCCACGCCGAAGTCCCAGAATTCGAAACAGTAGATTGGTTCGACCCGAACCAGAACAACCTCGTAGCAGAGGGTGAGTTCCGCGGGCTCCCGTCCTCTGGCTAAGCTCGTGCTCATTTCCTCTTAGTATCCATCAAGTCTCCCAAGCTCTATAAGCCTCCGCCGAGCGTTGCCCTAAAGAAGCACCCTTCCGGCCGGACGATTCGGGTCCTCTGTGTGGACGTCGGCATGAAGTACAATCAGCTGAGGTGCTTCCTGAAGCGCGGCGTTGAAGTTCTCGTATGCCCGTGGGATCATGACATGGTGAATGCTGCCGGTGAAGATTATGATGGCCTCTTTGTGTCCAACGGCCCCGGCGATCCGGCCGTGTTGGACGTCACCGTCAAGAATATCACTGCTCTCCTGGAGAAGTCGAATACTCCCATCTTCGGCATCTGCTTGGGTCACCAACTTGTGGCTCGCGCCTCCGGGGCCCGGACTAAGAAGATGAAGTTCGGCAATCGCGGCGCTAACATCCCTTGCACAAGCATGGTCTCTGGAAAGTGTCATATCACCTCTCAGAACCATGGCTTCGCCGTGGACGCCGACACTCTTCAGGAAGGTTGGCAGGAGCTGTTCGTCAACGCCAACGATGGCAGCAACGAGGGCATCATGCACAAGTCGAAGCCTTTCTTCAGCGTCCAGTTCCATCCCGAGAGCGCACCGGGCCCGCGTGACACCGAGTACCTCTTTGACGTCTTCATCCAAGCCATGTCCGACTGTGCTTCGGACCCCCAGGCTCTCAACCGCCCCGTCAGCTTCCCCGGTGGCACCGTCGAGGAGAACAATCGGCTCCACCCCCGTGTCTCTGTCCGAAAGGTCCTTGTCCTGGGAAGTGGTGGCCTCAGCATTGGCCAAGCTGGAGAATTCGATTACTCCGGCAGTCAGGCCATTAAGGCCCTCAAGGAAGAAGGCATCTACACCGTCTTGATCAATCCCAACATTGCCACCATTCAGACCTCCAAGGGTCTCGCCGACAAGGTCTATTTCCTTCCCGTCAATGCGGACTTCGTGCGCAAGGTGATCCTGTACGAAAGGCCAGATGCCATCTACGTCACCTTCGGCGGACAGACTGCCCTGCAAGTCGGCATCCAGCTGAAGGATGAGTTCGAGGAGCTCGGCGTCAAGGTCCTCGGTACTCCTATTCAGACCATCATCACCACCGAGGACCGCGAGCTCTTCGCTCGGAGTATGGACTCCATTGGAGAGAAGTGTGCCAAGTCGGCGTCCGCGAGTACTGTGGAGGAAGCCATGTCCGTTGTCAAGGACATCGGCTTCCCCGTCATTGTCCGAGCCGCGTATGCCCTCGGTGGCCTCGGTAGTGGATTTGCGAACAATGAGGCTGAGCTTCTCGATCTTTGCAACAAGGCCTTCGCAGCGAGCCCTCAGGTCCTGGTTGAGCGGAGTATGAAGGGCTGGAAGGAAATCGAATACGAAGTTGTTCGGGATGCCCAAGACAACTGCATCACGGTCTGTAACATGGAGAACTTTGATCCGTTGGGCATCCATACCGGCGACTCCATTGTCGTCGCGCCTTCGCAGACCCTGTCAGATGAGGACTACAACATGCTTCGAACCACCGCCGTCAATGTCATTCGTCACCTGGGCGTCGTGGGCGAGTGCAACATTCAATACGCACTGAACCCCTTCTCCAGGGAGTACTGCATCATTGAAGTGAACGCGAGATTGTCGCGATCATCAGCCCTTGCCTCGAAAGCAACCGGATATCCGCTCGCCTTTATTGCTGCTAAGCTGGGTCTGGGTATTCCTCTCAAGGACATCGCCAACAGCGTCACCAAGGTCACTTGCGCCTGCTTCGAGCCCTCCCTGGACTACGTGGTCGTCAAGATGCCCCGTTGGGATCTGAAGAAGTTCACCCGTGTCTCCACCCAGCTGGGCTCCTCTATGAAGAGTGTGGGCGAGGTGATGAGCATTGGTAGGACTTTCGAGGAGGCCATTCAGAAGGCTATTCGCTCCATCGATTTCCACAACCTCGGCTTTGGTAAGACCAAGGCACTCATGTCGATCGACGACGAGCTGCAGACCCCATCCGACCAGAGACTGTTCGCCATCGCCAACGCCATGCACTCCGGATACACCGTGGATAAGATCTGGGAACTCACCAAGATTGACAAATGGTTCCTCAACAAGCTGATGGGCCTTACCAACTTCGCCAAGGAGATGGTCAACTACAATACCGATCAAATCGCCCAACGTCCAGGTCTTCTCCTCCAGGCAAAGAGGCTCGGCTACTCGGACAAGCAGCTCGCGGATTTCTGGAGCACGAACGAGATGGGTATCCGTAAGATGAGGGAAGAGACTGGAATCATGCCATTCGTGAAGCAGATCGACACGGTTGCCGCCGAGTTCCCCGCGGTTACCAACTACCTTTACCTGACTTACAACGCCTCGGAGAGCGACATCACCTTTGACGACCATGGCGTTATGGTTCTGGGCTCCGGAGTGTACCGCATTGGTTCCTCTGTTGAATTCGACTGGTGCTCTGTTCGCGCCATCCGCACACTTCGACAAACGGGCCACAAGACGATCATGGTCAACTATAACCCTGAGACGGTGAGCACGGACTACGATGAGGCGGACAGACTCTACTTCGAGAACATTAGCCTCGAGACCGTGTGCGATATTTACGCGCTGGAAGGCGCCAGCGGCGTTCTGGGTGCCATGGGTGGTCAGACCCCTAACAACATTGCCCTGCCTCTGTTCCGTTCTGGGATCAAGGTCCTCGGTACATCGCCCGAGATGATCGATACTGCGGAAAATCGGTACAAGTTCTCGCGTATGTTGGACACAATCGGGGTCGACCAGCCGGCATGGAAAGAGAATAGCAGTCTCGAGGATGCGAAGAAGTTCTGCAATGACATCACCTACCCCGTTCTTGTCCGGCCGTCTTACGTCCTCTCTGGTGCGGCCATGAACACTGTCTATTCGGAGCGTGATCTTGAGAACTACCTCCAGCAGGCGGTAGCCGTGTCACGAGAGTACCCCGTCGTTATCACCAAGTACATCGAAAACGCGAAGGAAATCGAAATGGACGCCGTTGCCAAGGACGGCGTGGTCGTGGGACACTTCATTTCGGAACACGTGGAGAACGCCGGTGTCCACTCGGGTGATGCGACTCTCATTGTGCCGCCGCAAGATCTGGAGAGGCAGACGATCGAGAGGATCGAAGAGGCCACTCGCAAGATTGCCGCCGCTCTCAACGTGACCGGTCCTTTCAACATTCAGTTCATCGCCAAGGATAACGACATCAAGGTCATCGAATGCAACGTCCGGGCGTCCCGATCTACCCCATTTGTCTCCAAGGTCATGGGCGTAGACCTCATCGAGATGGCGACCAAGGCGATCATGGGGTGTCCTTTTGTCGAGTACCCCCCCACCACTATTCCTCCCGACTGTGTTGGCGTGAAGGTGCCTCAGTTCAGTTTCTCCCGACTCTCGGGCGCCGACCCTGTCCTCGGCGTCGAAATGGCGTCCACGGGAGAGGTCGCGTGCTTTGGTGTCGACAAGTATGAAGCGTATCTCAAGGCATTGCTGTCGACCGGCTTCAAGATTCCCAAGGCCAACATCCTTCTCTCCATCGGCTCATATAAGGACAAGAAGGAGATTCTGCCTTCGGTAGAGAAACTTCAGAAGATGGGCTACAAGTTGTTTGCGACGGCCGGCACCGCCGACTTCCTGCAGGAACATAACATCCCGGTCCAGTATCTGGAGGTCCTCCAAACCGAGCAAGGAGATCAGCGGTCCGAGTTCTCGCTCACCCAGCATCTGGCCAAGAACACCATCGATCTTTACATCAATCTGCCGTCCAACAACAAGTACCGGCGTCCGGCTAACTACATGAGCAAGGGATACCAGACCAGACGTATGGCGGTCGACTACCAGATCCCGCTGGTAACCAATGTCAAGAACGCCAAGATCCTGGTCGAAGCTCTCGCTCGCCACTTTGAACTCGAGGTGGGAAGCCGGGACTTCCAGACCAGCCATCGCACAGTCTGCCTGCCAGGGTTGATCAACGTCGCAGCATTCGTTCCCGGCATCGCATCGGCCGGCACCCACGACTTGCAGACGGTGACCAAGGCCTCGCTGCTGGCCGGCTTCACCATGGTCCGCGTCATGCCTGTCGGCGTCAATGGCTCGGTGACGGATGCGCTTACTCTGAAAGTGGCCCAGCAAAACGCCAAGCGCGGTGGCTATTGCGACTACAACTTCTCGGTTTCGGCGACTTCGGACAACGCAGATCAGATCAGCCAAGTGGTGGGCGAGGTTGGGTCTCTCTTCATTCCGTTCAACCACCTCTCCGGCAACATCAACAAGGTCGCTGCCGTGACAGCACATTTCGAGAGCTGGCCGGTACATAAGCCCATCGTCACGGACGCCAAACTCACCGATCTGGCGTCTCTCTTGCTTCTCGCTAGCCTCCACAACCGCCGCATCCACGTCACGTCTGTTTCCACCAAGGACGACATCAAGTTGATTGCACTCAGCAAGGCGAAAGGCTTGAAGGTGACATGCGACGTGTCCGTCTTCTCGTTGTACCTCTCCCAGAAGGACTACCCTGACTGTTCCTTGCTCCCTACGGCCGAGGACCAGGCGGCTCTCTGGGACAACCTCGCGAACATCGACGTGTTCTCCATCGGCAGTCTGCCATACCAACTGGCCAGCTCTCTGGGCCAGGCGGCGGAGGACGCGGCTGTTGGCATCGCCGATGTGCTGCCGCTGCTCCTGACTTCAGTTACGGAGGGCCGCCTTGGCGTTGACGACATCAAAGCTCGGCTGTATGACAATCCCAAGGAGATCTTCGAATTGCACGAGCAGGTCGGCTCTGCGGTTCAGGTCGAGATCGATCGAGCGTACAAGGTATCCGGGGCGGCTGGCTGGACACCTTTCGCCGGCAAGATGATGCGCGGCTCCGTGCAGAGAGTCATGATCCAAGGCAAGACGGTCTGCCTCGACGGGGAATTGTTGCCTGAGCCGCCGATGGGCGTCGACATGTCCAGCCACCGGGCGGCACCGATGTCCCCGCCGATGAAGGCCACTGGCGCCTCCATTTCTCAGCAGCTGGAGGCATCCTCCCCTCGGGACCGGCGACTGTCGATGTTGGGAGGATCGCGACCCGCGAAGCTGCGCGAGTTGGCAGCTGTTCAAAGCAGCAGGGGACTTCTGGGATTGGAAGAGCTCGGATCGCCAATTCCCTTGCAGCCAGCACTCGGATCGCAGCTGCACGATCTGCTCGCACAGCCTTCTTCGTGGAGGCATCAAAGCGTGCTTTCGGTGACGCAGTACACGCGTGCCGACCTGCATCATCTCTTCACGGTGGCCCAAGAAATGCGGCGCGGTGTCCAGCGTGAGGGCGTGCTGTCTGTGCTTCGTGGACGTGTTCTCTGCACGCTGTTTTACGAACCGTCGACGAGGACCTCTGCGTCTTTCGACGCTGCGATGCAGAGACTCGGGGGCAGGACGGTGGTCATTACGACGTCGCACTCATCTGTTCAAAAGGGCGAGACGCTCCAAGACACACTGCGTACATTGGGCTGCTACGGCGATGCGGTCGTCCTCCGTCATCCCGACGAGACCAGCGTCGACGTGGCGAGGCGACACTCTCCGGTTCCGGTCATCAACGGGGGCAACGGCAGCAAGGAACACCCGACGCAAGCGTTCCTTGATCTCTTCACCATCCGGGAAGAGCTCGGCACGGTCCAGAACCTGACGATCACCTTCCTGGGCGACCTGTTGTACGGCAGGCCGGTCCACTCGCTGGTGTACCTTCTTCGCGACTACGGGGTACGGGTACAGCTCGTGTCGCCCAAGGCGCTGGCGTTGCCGGAGGACGTACGGCGGTTCCTGCGGGAGTCGGGTCAGTTGGCGTGCGAATCCGAGACGCTGACGGACGAGATCCTGGCGCAGAGTGACGTGCTCTACTGCACTCGTGTGCAGAAGGAGAGGTTCCCTTCGTTGGAGGAGTACGAGAGGGTGAAGGATTCGTACCGCGTGGACAACAAGACGCTCAGGGCGGCGAAGAAGGACATGTGCATCCTGCACCCGTTGCCCAGGAACGAGGAGATTGCGCAAGAGGTGGACACGGACCCACGGGCGGCGTACTTCCGACAGGTATGTTATGTTCTATGCTCCTCAACGACAGCCGCTGTGATCGCCAAAAAGGGGATTGATTTTGCTAACTTGGTGGATAGATGAGATACGGTCTATATTGCCGCATGGCACTACTGGCACTTGTCATGGCACCTTGAGGCAGAAGGAGTGGTTGCCGAGTCATTCTGGGAATCGGATCGGCGATTTGAGGTGGCATATTGGATTTAAGAAGAAGAAAAAATCAGAAAAGCTGTAGATGGTTGATTTTTTTTTTTCGTTTGGTTGTTTTTCTTTGCTGTCTGAACTCGCATGCGAATTACCAAGTAGCATAGCGCAACATATAAACACCCCACAAGCCAAACGCATACGAAGTATATGCATATTTTATACTTGGGATTTGGGGCGTCTATATTCATCATAGAGAGAGATGAGCTCAGGCTGAGGCAGTCTTCTTGTTTCGAGACTCTACTAAGGGGTCTTGTTTCATGTCAGTCAAGATGTGTGTATGATTTATGTTGGCGGGTTGTGTATTGGATCGTCTGGTTGTTGTTGTTATTAGATACCCCTTGTTACGAGCGTTGCATATACATATATTTGGTCTGTCTGCGTATGTCTTAATTCGAATTATTCGCCAAACCCGCCGCACTGGCTAAAACCGAGACGGCCTCGGGGGTAACGGGGCAAAGCCGGCAACGCAACGGGGTAATCAAGCAAGTTATTACGGAGTACGAGTACACCGTATACGGAGAACACACCTGGAAGCTCGGTGACCCCACCTCCTCACCGAAAGTTGTTGATGTACCGTACCGCAGGCGACTGAGTCGAAAATATCCGATGTCACCCGATTCTTTTATTTTACGCCATAAGTTCACTACGTTAGGATCGCCCAAAGTAACGTGCAGCAAGACCTACGAGATTTTCGTAACTTGATATTCTTTGACTACCAAAATATAACCGTCTTGTTTTGAATGCTTCCTACCCCGAGACTGAATTTCGCGAGGACTCTGGTCAGAATGGCACTGTATCCTCCAAACGACACATCCAAGCTCATATGTGAGTCAATTTTCCCACATCAAAGTCAACACAACCCCCATTATAGCCCCCCGAGAGAAACACAGCACGCCCCCAAGTCCCCCTCTCCCACGCTAGCTACCACTGCTAAAAACACTCCAAAACCCCAGTCGCCCCCTCCGGGACGGAATCCAACGCCCAAGCACCCCAATTCACCGCCGGGCCACTCCACCGAAGCGACCTAGACCCCACGTCCCCAACGCGGCAGTTCCACGCCTGGTTCGCCGAGGCCCAAAAGGCGAAGACCTCCCCGTCGTCGTCGTCGTCGTCGTCTGGCGCCCCGCTCGTCGCGCACCCGGAGACCTGCACCCTGGCCACGGCGCACCTCCCCTCGGGCCGCGTCTCCGCCCGCGTGGTGTACCTCAAGGAGCTGGACGCCCGGGGCCGCTTCGCCGTGTACTCCAACTTCGGCACCAGCCGCAAGGCCGACGACCTGGCCTCCAACCCGCGCGCCGCGCTCGTCTTCTGGTGGGAGGGCCTGCAGAGGCAGGTCCGCGTCGAGGGCGCCGCCGAGCGTCTGCCTCCCGAGGAGAGCCAGGTGTACTTTGACACGCGGGTCCGGGGGAGTAGGATTGGGGCGTGGGCTAGTCGGCAGAGCGTTGTGCTGGAGCCGCGAGGGGGGGAAGCGAGCAGCGGCAAGGTGGAGGGGACGGGGGAGGGTGAGAGTGAGAAGGAGAAGGAGAAGGAGAAGGAGAAGGAGAAGGAGAAGGAAAGGGAGGACGATGGGCGAGGGCAGCTGGACGAGTGGGTTCGTGACGTGGAAACGCGTTTCGACGGCCAGGACCATATCCCCGTGCCGCCTCATTGGGGGGGGCTGCGCATCATCCCGGATAGGATGGAGTTCTGGCAAGGCAGGGAAAACAGGCTGCATGATCGGTTTGTCTACGAGAGGGAGGGCGGAGACGATACGTGGACGCTCAACCGGTTGAGCCCCTGAACTTGTTTGCGTACATTTGTTTGTACGCTGAAGTTCCCTGCCTCGTTCTATCCCGAATAAGGTATCTCCTCACACGTTCGCTGGATGGCTTGGATATGCGGAAGAAGAAAAAAAAAGGAATTAAAGGAAACAGGTAAAATTAGAAAGAAATACATCCCGGGTATAAGAGATGACCATCAGGATCAATAATAGGGGGTATGTGCGCTATGAAAGAGGTATCCTGCAATGACGAAAAGCAAAAATAGGCACCGTGGTCAAACTGGCACTGTCGTTGAAGCCATTCCGCCTCGGCAATGCCCATCTCCCCATCCAAGTACCTGAGGTATGCATGCATGAGGATACCATGCTGCAAATGATAAAAACGCCAAACGTCCAAGCCCTGAAAAGCGCCGTTTCTTCCTCCGTTTGCCTAAGTGCGGTCGGTCCTTCCTTTCCGATCAAATGTCGTATATAAGGCATCGATAAAGTATTACCTTGGATTACGCTCCGTTGCCATAGTCGGATGGCCAACTGAGCAAAAACGAGCCGCAACGAAATGCGAAGCAGCCCGTTACAGGCATGCGAGGTTGTTTTGAAACGTCCATGGACTCAGTGCCGTGCGTCGAATTCCTCCCCCACCGGAGACAGACCCCTCTTGGGCAACATCCTGGGCAGCGACAGATAGTCAGTCGGCCGCGTCCTCCCTTCGCATTCCTCGACGGCATTCGGGGTCTCCACCGGCGTCAGCGGTAAGCCCAAGCCCACGACAGCCATACCGACGCTCATGCTCTTGCTCTTGCCGTGGCCGGGCCCCAAGTCACGCAGCCCGGGCGGGAGGAGACGGCCGCCGTGGTGGGCCAGCGGCATGTCGACGGCGGCAGCGGCAGCAGCAGCAGCAGCAGCAGCAGCCGCGGGGCGGTAGTGCCGGACGGCCATCTGCATATCGACCAGCGTCTCGGCCATGAGATCCTCGTCGTCGAGCAACGGTTTGATGCGCCAGTTCAGGTTGTCGCAGATGCAGCGCTCCGTCGCGTTGAGCTGTTCGCAGGACCACCGGTTCCCGCCCCAGGCGGCGCAGTAGTACTGGGTCGAGTCGTGGCGGTCCTCGGTGAACTTGGTGGCGATGACCAGCGCGGCGAGGATGACGAGTTCGGGCCGCACCGAGTCGATGTGCAGCTGGCGCTGCTGGAACAGCGGGCCCGCGAGGGAGTGGCGCTTGTTCGGCGAGTGGGCACTGTCGGGCGGTAGGATGAGGGGGCACTGGAGACGCCAGCTGAGGGCGAATCGGGAGTTGAGCGAGTCGAGAATGCAGACGGCGAGGGCGATGGTTTCGAGAGGCAAGCCCATGCCGTTGAGAAGGGATTGGACGAGAGGGACGGAGGGTGTGATGAGGGAGGCGGAGGTTGGGACGAGGTTGGCTAGGTGGATGGCGGGGCCTAGAATAAGGAAAAGAAAAGGGTTAGCTGAGGACAGGACTGAGGAGCGAGGGCCCCAAGAAGGAATCGGCGGAGTGGAAGAACCAGCCAGAGACGAACATACCTAGAAACTGGTCGGGGAGTGGCTCGCCATCATCCAGTCCGATCTTAGGGCTTTGGTCTGCAGAGGAATTGCGGGATGAAGGCGGCGGGGTGGGCAGGTTGGACAATGGGCGGTAAGTGAAGTAAAGCTCCTCGAAGTCCTGGTCGTCCTCCACGGGGACAACGGAGTCCCTTGCCATTCTGCTCATGTTTCTTATGCTGCTTTGTTGGGGGGTGGCGTG